AGGAACCCCTTTGATCAAGGAGATGCGTTCATAGAGGAAGAAGATTCAGAACGAAATTCTATTGCGTGGGCTAGTGACCGAGTTTTCCTATTACAAACAATCTCTAATGTTTCTGTGGAGCTGCCTTCTGAACCTGCGGCTGATTTGGCCCATAACTTGCTTAAACGGATTGAAGAGTTTAACATGCATTCAACAGAGGTAATCATTATAGTTGCATCACTGACCAATTTTATCATTCACTTGTCACACGCTTCCATTTTAGTTTACTTCATGACTACCAAACTAGATGGTGTGATAATTTTTCACTGCTCAGCATGCATGGCACAGTTTAATTCCAATTCCATAGAAGCTAGATTGAAGGTTGCCTTGAAACAAACACGTTCATACGGTTTTTTAAACGGTGTCAATTTCCATTACCTATTGTTCTCATGAAAACCCTAAGCCAGGTCTAGATAAATTTCCTGCTTTTGATGCCTATGCATGGGGCTCATCATACCCCCACGGTTCACGTTAAAAAATGATGGCGCATATTATTATTCTTTTTTTTTTTTACCAAAAGAACAAATATTATCAGAGAAGAGAAAAATGCAATTTGACGAAGGATAAGAAGTCCTTGAAGCATGACAGATAAGAAAAGAACTAAACTAAGCAAATTACCAAAAGCCCTATACAGCTTCTAAGCAGAAGAGCTGCCCAATCTCTTTGCATATGAAATATAGTTACTTCATTAAAACGCTCAAGTGCGGAACACCAAGGAGAACACACACACACACACGAACACAATTCCTTTCTAAGTTGACTGACCAAAATATCCCGCAGACCATGCAAAATTAGTTCTGTGATCAGCTTTAGAATTAGTTCTGTGATCAGCTTTGTTTCTAAAGCAATCACCCTTGCAGCGTATGGTTGTTAACGTTACTCTTTGAATTTTGGATTTGTTATGAACGATTAACAGAAATAGAGATTTTCATGAACTATGTTAATCGGTAAACGTAACGAAGGAGCAAAAAGAATCCACCCATACACATAGATCAGAATGGCTAAGCATAAATGGAAAAGTAAACAGATGGCGGAAAAGGTGAAAAGGTCATGACCATGTAATATACAGCATAAAATTTCGAGAGTTTACTGGAATGAATTGCTTCTACTGCTTGATAGGTTGATGCTCACGTAAAAGCACTTGCAACGTTGTGCAAACGAAAGGCCTCAAATCTCCCGGAGTCGGAAGGACTGGTCATGAAATGGGTTCACCAAGTTCTCTTAAGAGCTTCGAAAATAATTGAGAAGTTTATTTCAGAGCATTCAGGGAAAAACAAAGAAAGTAGCTTTTTCACACCACCAAGATCTGGGACTCGAAGGGACAGGAAATCAACGGCATTGTCCAAGTCATTGCCAGAAGCAGTTACAGCAATATACACAATCGGCACTTTGGTGCTCGTTTGCCCATCTGCTGATATGAGCACTGTGGTTCCATTGTTACACACAATTATCACTTCAGGGAGTTCTGATCCTAAATCAAATAAGTTATTGGGCCCTGCAACCTCTCTAAAGCAGACAGCCCCTTCTTTGTGTATTCAAGGGTGGCTAACCATGGGGAAGCTCTGCCTCGCTGACGGGAAGCTGGCTAAGAGTTATATACCTCTGTTTGTACAGGTTGAATAAATGACCTGCCATTGTTTCCTGATCTGATGAACATATGGCCCCCTTTTTTCCAAATTGATCTGATAAACTGCGTTTGCAGGAGCTTGAAAAGAGTGAATCTGCAGCCCTTCGCAACAACCTAGTGGTGATGATGGCAGATTTTTGTGTTCGATACACTGCTCTTGTTGATTGGTAAGTCGTGTAAGATATCACCTTAAAGCCGTCTCTAATTGCAGGTTAAGTTACTATGAACTGACAAATAAAGGGGACTGTAACAGAGAAAGTAACTTTTACTGTGGGATGGGAGAAGTGCATTCACTGTATGCTGAATAGACAATTTCTAGCAAATAGTTTGCAATTCTTACTTCTTCATGGTTGTTCTCAGTTACATACCAAAGATTACGAGATGTCTCCGTGATCCTTGTGAACTCGTGAGAAGGCAGACTTTTATTTTACTCGCCAGATTGTTGCAGGTTTGTTCTGCTTATATGAGACACCTTCTGTATGACGCTTCCTTTCATCACGGTAGTTGACCGGTTATAGTCATTTGAAAGAATAAAGGAGGAAATAAATTGAGAAACACTCAAAAACGAAAGCACTATATGCTAAAATTTTGATTTATTTAGAGGGACTACGTGAAGTGGAGAGGAGTACTATTCCTTCGGTTTCTTTTGTCGCTTGTTGACGAATCAGAAAAGATAAGACACCTGGCAGATTTTCTCTTCGGTAATATTTTGAAAGGTGAGAAGGTTTACCTTGATCATCAATCAATCATGCTCACAATAGTATAAAATCAGGTCGTTGGATTTGACTATTGTGTACATATCAACAGTCAAGGCTCCTCTTCTAGCATATAACAGTTTTGTGGAGGCCATTTTTGTTCTGAACGACTGCCACGCCCATAATGGGCATAACGAATCCCATGGTTCAGGAAAAGACAGCCGACTATTTTCCATCAGGTGAAGTGGTACCGAGATAATAAGTGCCAAGGTAACTAGAGTAATTGTGTTGTGCTTATATGAAGTCTGAATTTTTTCAGGGGCAGCGATGAAAATTCAAGGTCCAAAAGGATGCACATTTATGTTTCCTTGCTAAAACAAATGGCTCCTGAGCACCTACTAGCAACCTTTGCCAAGTTATGCGCGGAGATTCTTGCTGCAGCTTCTGATGGAATGCTCAGTATAGAAGATGTAACTGCACAGTCTGTTCTACAGGTACTATACTGTATTTGTAACAGTACATCCATAGATAAAGATGGAAGTAAGGATTCGCTTATTATTGTCTTGTTTTGCAAAGAATTTTTCCCCCGTTTGTTGTGTTGAGAATTACAACGTTTAATACTGGAAGCAGGATGCCTTTCATATTCTCGCTTGCAAAGAGATCCGAATCTCATCCACGCGTTCATCAACAACTGAATCAGCAGACATTGAAGAGGAAGTAGGGACTGATAATGGATCAGCAGCAAGAGGGAAGATCATAACTCAAGTTGTCAAGAAGGGTCTTATTCAGAACACAGTCCCCGTCTTTATAGAGTTAAAACGCATATTAGAAAGCAAGAATAGTCCCCTCACAGGATCACTCATGGAGTGCTTGCGAGTCCTCCTCAAGGATTACAAAAATGAAATTGATGACATATTAGTTGCTGACAAGCAGCTACAGAAAGAGCTTATCTATGACATGCAAAAATATGAAGCAGCAAAGGCCAAAGCCGCAGTTGCCACCATGCCAAAATCAAGCACACATCAATCAACTGAAGTTTTTGAGATTCTAACCAAGACAAATGGACGAAGTAAGCTCAAAGACAAACCTGAGAGCAGTAAAAAAGTTGCTTCTGCAATGGCAGATGCAGCGGCTGCAGCAACAGCTCGTGCTGTGCTTAGGGAAGTGAACAAGGGAACAAGGACACCGGCGCTAAGTTCTTTGAGTGTGCCTAAAGTCAAGTCTCGAACGATTGTATCTAGTTCAAGAAGTGATCGGCACTCGGATGTTATAGAATCTTTGAGGAAAAGACAATCTTTTGACTCTGACGAAGAAAATTAACATCACAAAGAATTCCAACTCCCTTGCTCAATGCGGCATTGAAGCCTCGATCTTTTTGATACAAGTGAAGTCAATAGCTGACCTTTCTCTCTCTCTCTCCTCTTGTAACTTGTAGTGTTGATTGGTTTTCTTTTTCTCATTTTTTTAGAAGAGTCTGTATCTAAGATAAAACCTGGCCTGCAACCAAGGTTAGGACTTAGAAGATTGATGTAAATATAGTTCACGTAAATATTGCTTAATCTAGAAACTTGACTTAATTTGAAGCCTAAGAGCATAAGAGCGCCTTTTTCATCTTACACTTTTTGTGTTCTTGGCATATACCATCTCTACTTGATTAACATTTAACAGACTCACTAGCATGGGCATGGAGTTAAATCTGGTAAAGAACGCAGCATGGTAGTACTGTAACATGTGACCAAATTTGTCCATGGCCAAATTGGACTATCTTGCTTTTGAAAAAATTGAGAGAAACACTTGCTAACAGACATCATCCTCTACGATGTGCAAAAGAAACGAGATGTGAGTGATGTGAACTTGAAAGGTTTATTAATCTCTTCCCTCAGGGCCTCTGGAACAAGTAAAAACTGGCAATTTCTGTATTTTGTCGGGGGAAGATGTGAGTAGACCCTGCATAGGATATTTTTAGGGTTGAATTAAGGCTATTCTTTCCAAGGTTCTCATGTTGGTGTAGAGATGACTAAAGTAGGTTTTACTTTTCTCAATAAAAGTGTTTCTTTATACACATAGTCAAGAATTAAATTTTTAATAATATTGGTTATGAAAAGGGAGGAGGATTGGTAGTAAAGAGAGTGAAGTGAAGGGAGCACGAGATGGAGAAGGGGTGTGAGGAAACGGCGTGGTCTGTGGATCTGAGCATCGTCAATTGCTCATGTCCTGCACTTCATCTCTCTATTTTGGATCCCTCTTCCCCACCAATACCGACTAACTATGTGTGTATCCCCCCAAAATCCATGAATGAAATGAAATCTCTTTTTAACTGTACCCCCTCTCATTTTAGGAGAAAATCTCTCCATTATTTTTTCTTCATTTCCTTTCCCTTTCCTTATCTCAATCATTCATTAATTCTATAATTTTAAAAAATTTATTTAATAAAATATGTGTGGTTGAAATGAAAAAAGTAAAAAAAAAATGAAGGAAAAAAAAAAATAAATAGATCCTTGATCCCTTCCTTCCTCGCTCCAAAACATGGATGAGAAAATAGCAAGTCGGTGGGAGAAGCGACTCACCTGCCTTAATTATTGAAATTCAATGCCCTCATTAAATAAACTAAAAGCAATGCCATTCACGCTTCTCCGATGGTAATTACCGCAATAGCCTCGTAACCACGCTTCTTTTCCACCGTTGTCCGCGAATTTGCCCGTAAATTACAAAACGGAGTGATCATTGCATCGAAACCAAGAATGCGTACATACAACAGCACAATACCGTGTAATTAAACAAATTAATAAATAAAGGAAAGTTCAGACACTGTGGGACCCGGTAACACAGATCCGTGAGCGATCTTCAGTCCCCGGAATCATCGTCGCCGCCGAAGATCGAGACGCGGTTGTACAGAAGGAAAATAATGAGGAGGAGGAAGAGGGCGACGCCGACGGGTGATCCGCTGACCCGGTGGATGGTATCGGGTTCGCCGGTGGAGAAAAGGGAGGAGATGAAGGAGCCGCGATCGGAGGAGAGGAACTGAATGGTGAGAAGGAGGATAATGGGGAGGAGGAGGAGGCCCAGGGGGCTGAGGAGCTCGGAGATGGCTTCAGTGATGGCCTCGCCCTGATCGCCCAGAAGGAAAGGGACAATGACAACGATGGCCACCACCAGCGCTAAAAGGATGCCATGAGGAGCACCGCCTTGTCTTTCTTCTATCATACTGGGGCTGGAAGCTTCTGATACAGATCGAACGCGGCGAGACCCGGCAAGAGTGTTGTTCTGTGCTGTTGGTGATAGGTGTGCTCCTTTATTTTGACGTTGGATCTTACAGAGAACCCCAAATCTGGGAGCAATCAAAATAGGAAAACGATGAAGTTGCTAAGCAAGTGCTTTGGGGGTGTGAACATAAATAATATGGGGGAAACGAGCACTGAAACAATGGGAGAAAGGAATGAAGGAAGCAGATTTCAATTTGAATTTGGAATGGCTGAATATGATGGTGCGGAAACTGGACTGAAACTGCTGCAGTGCACGAAACGAGAGAAGAACGTGGGCGGGACCCTTTGGGCTGATCCACGCCTCAAAATGATGTGGATTAGCCCATCCACTTCATTCGTGCTTCCTTCGGTAAGCGGGTTTGGACTTTTCACACCTCACTTTCATTTTTACTGCTCCATTGACCATTATTTTGGATAGAAATACCGAAATAAGGGCGAGAGAAAAAATGCAAATAAATTTCAATGCAATGAAATACTAAAATGAGGGGTCGCTTAGTTCAACTCAAGGGTATGTGAGAAAGAAACACTTGAACTCTTCATCCCACCCTGATATTACCCTTACGAGCTACTTTAGATGAGAATATGTGAATGAATTCTTATTCTTTTTGCCTTTTCGGTCTACATGTTATAAATCAGTAAGATTAATGTATTTTAAAAACTATAACCACATATTATATAAATTTTATTTAGAAATTTTTAATGTTTTTACATTATCTTGTTTTTATCATATACACACATGCACGCGCACGGGAGCGCGCAGTTATAATATAGTAATTTTATAATTTATCTAATACATAATTACATACAATCATTTATCTAATGTATAATCTTTCCTTGACGAAGTTTTGGAGTCGTTTTATTTTATTATCACTTTTTGACGAGTTTGATCATGTTTATTTGTCTATTCCTCCTGAGGGAATTTTCTGTTTGCTGTTGTTTGGACTAGACATGAAACGTCACTCAAATAAGTCATGAGATTAGTTGGGCTGAGTTATCAAAACGTCAGGATCAATATAAATAAAAGAGGCCAATTCCTAAGCTCAATAAAGTCCACGACAAATAAACATGCCAAAATCCCATCAACTTCAAATATCAAATTGTTGGCATGAAGATACGATCCTAAATAATGTCGAAATCTACGCCTAAGTAGTTCAGTAAAACGGGCTGTTTATCAAAACAGAGAGAACGTGCCATAAGTTTTGCATGATTCCTAATTTTTTGGTAGAACATGCTAAGTCTCAAGAAAAAGACTTCTGCTATCAGACACTATAAATAGAAAGAAGGAAAACAGAAAAATCTAGCCAACACTCGATCAAGACTCGCATAATTTACATTTACTAGCCCTTTTTAGTTCTTAGTTTTTATTCTGTAATTTTCAAACACTTCAATAAAATTACACACTTGTTTTACCAAAACCTACTATCTTTTTACATTCGAGCGAACTGTAGTAAGAAAACTCGGGACCTCTTTCATTATTTATTGAGATCCAATGTCTTTGACACGCCTGATATTTATTGTTCAACCACGAACAATTATACAGTGACTTAGTGGGTGCTCATGCCGCTAGCGATATTTTTGAGTTGGTTAAATAAAGGGCTTTGTCCCATATTTTTATCAAAATAAATAAATAAAAAATGTGTGTGTGTTGTGTACAACAAAAATGTGATAATAAATACGAAAGCTTTCTATAATGTTGATCATTTATTTAAAAAAATATCATAAAAAATCATTATATTATGGCCATTGATCGATAAGCCTACAGGAAGGGATTAAACAAAAAACTTGCAAGTCCACTAACACTGAATTGCATACGATGACAAACTTTTAAGCGATAATCATTTCAACAATATAGATGAGACATGGATCTTAACACAGCGAAAAAGAGTAGGAAGGCAACACGACAGCTTTTGTAAAATATGTTTAAAAGTGTTGGGGACAATTTTGTGATTATAATATTAGATGCTTGCCAGTCCTCTCAATGTGGGGATGGTTTTGTACATCATTCCAGAAATTCCACTGCTTAATGTTTAACTCTTGTATTCTCAATCTTGCCACTTTACTGCACGAGCTGATTGGGACGACGCCAAGTATGCACGACCAATTGGCCGTGACTTTGGAATAAATTAGTAAGAACCTTGGAGCGAATATAAGGCCAAACTTCATGCAGGGTCTCAGATTTCAGCGCGCCCTCTGCACCCTCTCTTCTTCATTCTTCACCCAAGTTCGCTTTGCCCCCATATCTCTCAGACCCCTTCCTTTCTATCTCGTCCTCCCCCTCACAGCATTGGCTATTTTCCTTCCCTTACCAGCTTTATCTCAGGCTAGCTTCTTTGAACGAAACAAATACATCAGTTTGATAATGTAAGTGATTAGACTCTGCGATCAAATCTCTTCCTCGAGCCCATTCTCTTGGACCTCGACCAAATCTACCACTTTGTTTGCCCTGCTTCTCCTGTACATTACAAGCGTTCAATCCCGGTAAGACCATTATATCCTCCTGTTCAGATCCCCCCCCCCCCCCAAAAAAAAAAAAGTCTTTTCTGAGTAAATATATTGAATGCCCCAAATGATTCCAGGCCCATTTAGCGAGGCTCCTCTTGTAATAAATATAGCTCCTTTGAGCTGCGATAGCTCTCACTATAACCAATTTAGAGGGCTAGAATGAAGTCAATGAAAATTTGATCAGCAAATCCTTTTAGTTTTTAGCAATCTCATTACGTCAGTGACTGCCTCTTAATTCAAAAAAGAAGAAGAAGAAGAAGAAGAAGGTAATCAGATACAAAAGAAAATAATTGATAAGAACAAGATATGCCATGTTTTTACTTCAAATCTGCTGTAGATACAATATGCCGGAGTTGATGGGTTTTTATGAGAGAGGAGTTTCTCCATTTTTTTTTTCATCCTTCTCCCTCTCTTTTTAATCGTGATTATTGGTACGACTGCATTAAATTGAATTTTTTTTTATATCATTATGATGAGAAGGGCTTACGGTCCGGACGTGAGGTTATTGCTCAATCAAAAAGTCGACAAGAACTGGAAGAGTTCCATCTGTTATCTCTGTGTGTGTGTGTGTGTGTGTGTATAAAGGGAAAAACAGTGTTTATTTTCAAAGATATTAAAATATAAGGTATTGGCGGTACAGAAAACAGCCTAATACACCAAGGGAGGGCCATAAAAGAAGTCAAATGGACCGGGAGCAGCAAATGTTGAGGCCAATTGATTCTCAGAATATCAGGTCTTGTACAGGGTAAGAGCGAATAGTATACCTCCATGCATTGGCTGTGTCTGGATTCACATCACGCAAACACTGCCACACCGCGCTATTACATTTGAACCCGCTGCCAAAGGCAATTTGCCATACCCTGTCCCCACATTTCATTCTGCCCTTTGCTTCAATATAACACAGCTCGTACCAAATTGAAGATGACGACGTATTCCCAAACCTATGAAGAGTCATGGTTGATGCTTCGACATCCTGTTTCCTCAACCTCAGCTTTCTCTTAATGGCTTCAATCACAGCTCTGCCCCCTGCGTGTATGCAGAAATGCTCAAAAGCCTTGCTGAAATTCGGTGCATAGATGCTCGTCTCTCTCCTACTCCCTAGTTTATGACAAATCAAGGAAAATGCGTATATGAATCGCTCCCTGTACGAAAAAACCAAAGGTGCTAATGAAGCTATATTTGTCTTCAGTGCGTCTCCAGCAAAATTGACTACGTTCTTTGATATGGACACCCCTACTTCGTTGTCTGGGTCCACGTCCATGTAGATGCAACCATGAGATTGATCATTCCGTGCTTTGCTTGTTCTGACGATGTGCTTCAGCTTATACTTGGCCCTATGCTTATCTTGGACCCTGCTCGACATCAATATGGCGGCTCCTCCCATTCTGAAGAGGCAATTAGTTAGCAACATGGACGGGACTTTACCAGTGTACCAATTTAGATTAAGGCATTCTGTGCTTGCTATTAGAGCCAGAGAATTGCGATGAACTCTTAACAAGTCTCTAGCCAAACTGACCGATATAAGGCCAGCACTGCATCCCATGCCCGAGAGATTAAAGCTCATGATGTCGCTTCGCATTCTGAACTTGTTGACCACCATGGCGCTGAGAGATGGAGTAGGGGAGAAGACGCTACTATTAGTGATTAGTATGTCTATGGCCTTCGGGTTGATGTTGCTTTGCTGATACAGGTGGGCAATTGCCGCAAACATGATTGTTTCGACCTCCTCAAGGGCCGAGGAGAGAGCTTTTGTTTTGGGAATGCAAGCAAGAGGCGGAGGAATGCAGGTCTGCTCGCTGTAACCGGATTTTTCCAGGATCTTGCACTGGAACGCGACAGAGTCTGGATCCATATTGTCATGAACCATACTCTCCTTGAACATGGACTTGGTTAGCCTATAAGAACTGGGCGGACAGTAGCAGGAATAGTCTATCAAATAAATTTCAACTTTTCTTCTGTATGCCAAGTATAAAACTGCCAGCACTGCAAAAGCTAGTACCATCGCTGAGTGCAGGGAAGACGATAGAATAAGGTCGACCGCCTTGTTGGCTGGCTGCATCAACATTTGGATGGAGAGAGCCATATCGTGAAATTGAAAGTAAATGTCGCTTTTGTTTTGGGCAAGCACGCACGCACGCACATATATATTATATTAATGGTGGATCGTTGTTTTCATAATTAGTGTCACGATTACATGGCCTTGGGTAGAAAAGAAAAGTGTGTGGGGAAAGGAAAGGAGCTGAGCATTCTTTCAGTGCTTCCGGAAAATCGTCATTATGAGCGGAGAGGCCTCAACTTCCGACACTCGGGTTTTTTGCTGTGTTTTTACGGATCATCTTTTGTGGCTTCTAAAATAAGTCATGGCCGTGGAATACAATAATGAAAAAAATGTTTACTCTACGGCCCAAATAAAAGGAATTGGGACATATCATGAACCCAATTCCAGCCAATTTCAAAGAATGTACACCCCTTTTGCTGCGAATTGCCAAACGCAGATGGAGAAGAATGTCCTGTGACTCCAGTCCTTGTAATTAAAAAAAATAAATAAATGTCCAGCCCAAAGAATCCTTGAAAATAAAGAAAGAGGTTGCGTGAATCAAGAAAGCGGGCCAGTAGTGCCGATCAGCGTCATGATTGCATTGGTTCCCGCATCCCATACCGTACCTTTGCCAGGAGCCATCGGGGTGGGTGGGCAGTGGGCATTGGGTTGGCGAGATTTCCTGCACAAGGTGGAAATATTTAAGATATGAAAGTATAATTATATATAAATCATTTCTCCCTACCTCGTCCAACTAAAAGTAAGTTAATTATTTTAAAATTGAATCGCTATTTTATTTTTGCCTTTGCAAATCATGAATGTTTTGGAATGTGATCAAGAAGTATTTCTAAAATAGTTCATTAAATATTTTTTTATTTTAAATTATAGAGCACTTTTAAAAAAAATTTCATTTCAAGATATAAAAAATTTTGAATGGATTAAAGTTTTATTAAATGTATCAATTTTCATATTATTTTTTTTCTTTTTAAAATTAATTTTTATTTCTTTTTTAATATATTAAATGATTAATATTTTTAAAAATTTATATTTTTATTTGAGAAAGATAAAGTTGTTAAATGTATTTAATAAAATTTATTAATATATAAAATTTTATTAAAAAATATTTTATAATTTAAGATGAAATGAACAGTGGACAAAGCAATGAAAGATGGTTTACGTTAAGACTTAAGAAGCATGGCTTCCTTTTTAAGAGTGGCTGGGAGCGAGCGATTACATGTGCGACGGGGCTCGGGAAATATGGCAAGGACAAGTATTTAGCAGCCTTTGCCGCCTGTGTTGTGCCCTAAATCACGTGCTCCATCTGCAATATTCCAATGGCCCTTCAAATCCCAACACGCCCCAAAATGCCGTCCTCCAACGTATATAAGTGAAACATGTAAAATTTATAACTTTATACTCCTTATTTTTAATGTTTTATTTTTTAAAAAATTAAATAAAAAATATTTAAGTTTAAAATCTTAATAAACATATAATATTTTAATAATACAAATAAAATTTGAAGAACATATTTATAATAAAAAATTATATCAACCTGTTCAATATAATTTTTTAAAATAAAAAATGGTGATGAATTTATTTATATTATTATAATTTTAATCCTAATATAATTATTATTATTTTTAAAAAATATTAATTTTTTATTAAATTATTCTGCACTCTCGATTAAGAGTCCTGGCTCCCTCCTCTGCTTTTACTTTCTGTTAGGTGCTATTCTCGTTCTCGAGCACTGTTGGAGAAACATTGAGATGTGAAATCACAGCGCCAAGACAATCTCTAATTTTAAGGTGATAAGCCACCATACAATCTCCAATATGTTGTCCGCAGTCTCTATTTGCCGGAATATACGTATCTAGATTCTGAGCTACATTCAACTATTTACAGTCCATAAACAATGCAATTTTGAATTTTCATATATTTGATATTCCATACATCGATTAAAATTAAACTTATATAATTATCATGCCATGTAATCATATGATCCGTGTTTACATTTTTTACAGGAAAATGCTGTATTTGAAACTTTTAATATCTAAACTAGTCATGTTCTGTGATATGTCTACAAAATCAGAGAATAAATCGCATGATTTATAATTCGTAATAGCTTATTATAAATTTTATAATGACAAATTTAAAAACTTTAGAATTAATTGCCACGGTTTTCCAGCTTGTACACGGACCTTCTTGACAGGGGATCAACGTTAGCTGAGGAATTAATTTAATATTCATGATGTAGCCTGGCTTGATTATCTGAATGATACTAATTGACAAGCCTCGCTCCAATAATTATTTTTACCTTAAATTATTCCTCTAAAGCCTTGTTTTAATTTAATAACTCGGTACAAGAGGCTACCAAGGTAACTGGGCCCTTTGTTATGAAGAAATAAATAGTGGGAACGCGTCCGCCGCCTCACGCTGTCTATAAAAGACGGAATGAACATGTAAACCCTACCCGTACAGAGAGGGAGCGAGACCTGCGAGAACGCCGGTGGCGACTGTTGTAACGCTGCCGCTATTGCCACCACAATGGCTCGCTCTCTCTCTCACTCGGCACGTCTGGTGTCCCTTGTCTCCGACGCTCTTTGCCCCGCTCTTCACCGGCGAGGCTATGCGGTTTCTTTATCGGCATCCCATGCCCCTCTGAGCGGCGGCGGCAGGTTGGGCAAGCTCGAGGACCCGTCGGCGACGGCGACCGAACAGAATTCATCGGAAGCATCCTCTGCTTGGATTCCGGATCCCGTCACTGGTTATTACAGGCCCATCAATTACTCCCCTGAAATCGACCCGGCCGAGCTCCGGCTCATGCTCTTGAACCACAAAATGAGATCATCCCCCAACTCCGCTTAACTCCTTGGAATGATCGATCCTTTCAATGTTATATGATGCTTGTTTCTTTGTTTGCATCGCTGTTACTGTTTTTAGGTTACACATGACCGATATAACAACTTTTCGGTATAAGAGTTCTAATGTTTGCACCTCAATGCTTGCAGATTTTATTCTTTTATCTGTGTTTTGGTTCTGGTTGGATTCAAATTTAATTTCCGTGCTTGTCTACGTTCCATGACAACATGTCGTTCCTGTATTAGCTGACAACTTCACAACGCGATGATAACTCCTGCTCTCTAAACAAGCAAATACAGAATTATATTCACAAAGGATGCGTATCTGTCTGGTTCATTGTGACCCACAATAACCGGACCAGATAGAGTGCGTATCGGTGTGCCTATAATTTAGATGCAAATTCTATCGATGTGCCCTGTGGGGTGTCAATTTCTGGACATATTAGAAAAATTGGAATTTAATATTCCCTCCGTCCTTTTTGTAGGTATTTTTAAACCCTGTGTATAATTCACTTGACAAACATTCAACATCAAACTCCGAGCATTCATTATGAAAATTGACAAGTTTTCATAAGATATAACTGTGGATATGATAAAGATTTTTTAGGTTAAAAATATTTAAACAACTCTTTGGTGGATCATTTTTTTCTTTTTCTTGTTTTCCGGTCAAAGGCAAATATTATTAACTATAAAACGAGTACAGCATGCAGACCAACTTAAAAAGGAAAAAAAAAAAGAAAGAAACAGAAATACGGAGTCGATCATTTTCTTCCTTAGGGTGGAGAATTTATAACATTCCTGCCCTTTAAATAATATCTTTTTGTTGCTCATTCATATAATTACGGATATACATTAATTATTTTAATTTAATGACCCCCATCTAGTTATTACAACTTCTTGAATTGGGCCGGTTATAAAAGACCTTATAAGAAATTTGATCCATAACGTATAAGTTAGGTCGCTATTAATAAAAAAATTTTATTGATAAATAATTTATATTTTTTGAGGTTGGAAGCGTACTTTTAATTTTGGTGATACTCAATTTACCCAGACTTTATTGTATCAAAATAAAAGAAAACGGGGGAAATTTGTGGATTCATCGGCCAATCAAATAGCCTTAGACAGCCTAAAAGTAAGGAGACAAAGCCCGTTGGCCTAAAAATATATGAATCTTTTTATTAATTTAATTTTTAAATTTACGTGATGATAAATACTGATATTTTATTTGTAAATTACTTCTAATGTGCTTAATAAAAGTAAAAAAAAATTAAAACTTATTTACTTTATCTGACAATTTTATACTTCATAACTTAATCTATATTAAATATATATATTTTAATAATACAATTTTTATTATTAACTTTAAATGGAGTTAAAGAAGAAAAATTTATAATTAAAAGTGCTTATAAACAAAAAAATTCTTATCTTTTCTTATAAATAAGAGTTAAGTTTAATTTTATTCATATTCTTATTTTTTAGGAGTATAGGGCACTATATACTCTTAAAAAAGGCAATTTTTGCCTTGAAGTATTTTTTAAGTTTCCAAAAAGCCCTTTTGTTCAAAGACCATTAACTTTGCCATTTTATACTAATGTGGCATGTGCATGGAGCCACACACAATGATAAATAAGACTCTAACATGCCTTTTGATTCTAATTTATCTCTAAAAAAATTTTCTATAAGCATTGAATACATTGAAGTCTTATTAAAATAAAATTTAATAAATATTGTTAAAATATTAAATATTTTTAGATTTAATAATTTAAATATTATTATTTATAAATATTCATTGAAAATTTATAAATTACTTTTTGAACATTAACAATTCAAACTAACATTTTATAAATTTATAGGGAAATTTTTATTTTTAATATATCAATCTTTGATCTTCCATCTGAAATGACGTCTAAATTGTTAAATTTTTTATACATGTCAGAACTTATATTTTTAATATCAATTACGTTTATTAAATTTTTAGGTCATTTTTTTATAATTTTTTTATCAATTAGCAATCTGTATGTTGCAGTGTTAAGAGTAAAATAAAAAAAAATGATAAACCAAGACCAACAATATGCCAACAAAGATATTTATTTGAAATATATCCCTTATTTCATTAATGTGCTATAAAAGAGTTACTTAATAAGAAAAAAATGAAAATATAAGAAAAAAATTTCTTCATTAATTTAGAGATTCGTTCCCTTCATTTTTAATTCAAAATTTCAAAATATCAAAAATATTAAATTATTTAATTGGGTGGTGCAATGTTTTAAATAATAATATTTAAATTATTAAATATTAAAATACTTAATATTTTAACAATATTTATTAAATTTTATTTCAATAAGATTTCAGGGTGCATAACACTTCTAGAAAAATACTTTTGGATGCTTAACCTCTTTAAAAAAAATCAAGAACAAATTAACACTAAAAATTATGGTTACAATACTATATATCACTGCATGGATCCCAATCACATCTTATATTAATAGAAAACGGCAAAGTTAACAATTGATTAAAAGAAATAATTTTTTATTTCTCGAAAGACTTTAAAGATAAAATTATTTCACTTAAAAATATAAGATGCCTAATATTTTTAAAAAATAAGTATAAAAATAAAATTAAATTTAGTATAAATAATTGGAGAATATCACACATTAGCCTGAATCTGGCTTTGATATATTTAGTAGATGGGCTGCGCAATAGACTGAGGTACGGGTTCCTCATAGATCGTCTGCTAAGCGAAAAACCGGGAGCAGCTGAAATGGACAAAATAATTGAAGACAATAATTTAAAAAGTTGACGAGGCCCAAATCCGATATATGTGCTTGCGGTAGAGGCGCATGTGCCCCCGTTTCTCTTATTATTATTATTATTAAAGAAAATTAATTTAATGACCTTAAAAAATACAACTTTTATAAATTATGAAAGAAGTTTTTAAATATTTTAGAATATGGCTCATTTATAAAATTAATTAGATGTGTATTTTTTTTCTATTCTCAAAATAAATTTATTATTAAAATATAATATATATGATTTAACTAATCTTTAACTGACTGAATATTTCATTTTTATCATCAAAAATAGTATTATGCATGCTCTCTCTTTAATTTATCATCTCTAAATATTTTTTTATCAAATTTTTTGATATAATTTTCTTAGATCATCATATTTATATCTCGTATGGTGCTTTTATTTATAAGAATTTTTGCTTTGATTTAATTGAATCACCATCTTTATCACAGAATTTTTCCTCTCTTTCCCTCTCTGTTTTTCCCAAATATTATGAAAAGGACATTAGATATTGAAGGAGAAACTTTATTGTTGATTTGCAATACTGCATCATTGATATATGGTTGTATACCAATGATAAACAAATTGATAAGTTTTTATTGATATGACTTATATATCGATGATATAATATACCATTGATATACTATCGTAGATAAACATAATTAGATAATTAGATATAAATTTATTTATAATTGATATATAGTCATATATTAATGATGTAGTGTCGCAAATTAAAAAGATAAAAAATACATAATTATTTATTCAAAATAGATCAAATATATTTCATAAAAAAATTTGAATTCTTAATTTATTATAGAGAATTAAATACCTAAATTAATAAAATAAAAAATCATGAATATGTAACTCTGTTTTCTTACTAGCGTGCTCCATTTCATTTAGTACCATTGATGTATCTCACTTTGCATTTTTCTCTCTCTGTCGTGATTGTAGTTCACTCACACTGCCCGCTATCTCATGTTCATCTCTATAGTTTTAGAGATTTTTTGCATTTTAAATCTCCTAATATTTGAAAAAGTATATATTAAAAAGGATAGTTTTGTAAATTAATTATAATCTAAATATAAAAAAGTCATGTTTGAAGTTTAAGAAAGGATAAATTATTTATTTTACTTAATCTTATAATATGGGTTATTTGTACAAAAAATTTTATTATTTTTTTTTATAAAATGCCCGGTCGATTGATCAAAACAAAATTGTAGCTACACACCAAATCTTTGTAAGGGCTCCAGGCATTGTCATATCTACTTAAAATAACAAGCTTATTGCCCACCCTTGTTTTCACCCGTATCTTTGCACATCGAGACGCAATATTCATGCCAAAAAGAAATACATATTATTAAGTATTTTTTTTAAATTACAAGATATTTTTAAAAAAATTTTAACATCCTAAAATATAAGACATTTTAAAAATATTAAGATTCAGTAAATTAGTTTATTTTAGTATTATATTTTTTTATATTTAATTTTTATTCATCTCTCTTCTCAATATATTAAATTAAGAGTATTTTTAAAATTTTATATTTTTTTAAAAAATTTGTTAAATATATTTAATAAAGTTTATAGATATGTAAATTTTGTATAGAAGTTTGTTATAATTTGGGACTGAGAAAATATTTACTATTGAGCATATTTTTTTGTTGATAATTTATGAGTATAGCTATTTTTATTTTTATTAATCAAATAATTTCGTAAGTGTTGGATTATTTCATATTTGCAAAAAAAAAAAATAGAAAAGAAAAAGCGAGAGCTGTGGGAATTAAAATGTAAATCGATCTTCGTGACATTGCCCATGGGAACTGTTGAAGAGGTGCAGTCATTCATTATCATCCCGACTATCCCTGTCTTCAGGTGCGGCTTTCCTCGTGGCAGGAGATCTTTTCTTCTTCTTCCCTCTATTTCTCTCCATTTCCCTAATCCCCCAGTTATTAATTTTATCATTAAAAAAAATTATATAATAAAGTAATTTGAATGATGAAAATTGCAGAAATGGAAGGGGCAAAAAAAAAAGAGCTTTCCTTACCCCTCCTCCCTCATTTTTCTTTTGTTTCCATAACAAATATATTATTCATCACTTCCATGAAATAGAAAACGATACAATTTCTGTTAATTATACCTCCCCACGGCCTCAAAATAACTGAATGACCTAAATTATATTAAAATGTAATCATTCTTTGCTGATTTTTTCTTTTACGCAGAGGATTCTATACCAGCACTGAATGTTGTCTTTCTTCATCAAATGGAATGACATGGATGAATGTCAAAATAAGACACAAAAAACCACAAGCAATATTTCATTAAAATTAGAAAAATGACAACCAAATATTCCAGAACGACAAGCCTTGCATGGCAAATAATTTGAAATAAAAGAAGTTGGTGACTTCAAAATGCAGAACAGAACACTACTAAAATTATCATTAATTCCTCCATTCTCTCTCGTGCAACAAAACAGATTTTTCTCGCAAATCAGTAAACAATTCTTTGTCAGTAGATCCACCCTAGCTTTTACTTGAAAAATGAAAACAAATCACTGACATGTTAAAAAAGATTTTCTCCGAATACAAAAAAAAAAAGGGATTTTATGAAACCATAAGCGTCAAATGTTGGGGGGCGAAGGAAAGAGATCATTTATCTTCTGCATTTAAGTGTAAAAATTCATATGACAGCGTATAACTTTATATATATATATATATATATATAACAGAAATTACAGCGTATAACTTGGCTGCATGCTCTTCACAAAACGACAATAAACAGCTAGCGTTCCATACAAAGCCGAGCAGATGGATTAGTCAAACGAAGAAGTGTCATAAAAAATGAGGAGGACTGCAGTTAGGTGGATCCTATAAGGTTTTAATATAAATGCAATACGCTGCAAGATCTTATCATTGAATGCGATCCAGGGGACCACCACAGCTCCAACCATGTTCTCTTTGACCACGAGACCATCCAATCCTATTGTTTTTGAAAACAAACGCAGCATCCCGGCACCCCCACATCGATCGCAAGTTATTTCGGTTTTTAAAACGTTACACCATCCCCACCTTCAACAACGTTCCCATTTTGAATCTCTGCATCTTCTCTTCTTTCACGCCTTCACCCAAACAAGCATGTGTCTGCATGTGATCTCTAACTGTACTCGCATTCAACTTTCACTCAACACTGATGAATTTCACAACACAACACCCCAGATAATGATAATACAACCAGAGTCACAGGAAAGCAGAACTACGACACATGACACCAACGAATTGTAATGCGAGTTTTCTTTACTTCTGTTTTCCTTTCTCTAAATCTAAACCCTCCGCACAGCGCCATACACAGCTTCCATAACCTGAATATTAACGATAAGATGCGACCCTCTACCAAGTATTACATTTCAAAGAAAGTCACGGACAAGATAAACAACGGAGTAATAAACAGAGGAATTTGTATTGTTTAAATTAGACCGCTCCATTTCGTGTATTGTGTTGTTTCCTTTTCGCGTATGATCTCCCCTGCGTTTCAACCTCCGACGGAAAGCAATGAAGAAATATCGGACAAATTTGGTTTTGGCGTCGCGGCGTTCTTATGATCAGAAGCATCTCTGATGATATCCCTCTTGTTTTTGGTACTGAAAGCTCTCATGGGACTCGCAAATGCCCAACCCCAACTCCTTGTCCGCCCGTGGGAGATGGCCACAGCCGCGGATTTGCCGTTCACATGATTATCCGCAGAGGATGAAACCCAGTACGAGGAAGACGACGACGATGAAGAGGACGAAGTCATCATGAGCCCACTGAATATGCCAGCACATTTCACTCTTTCCTTCATGCATTGGTGGTGGTGGTGGTTCATGACGGCGGTGGCCGTCACAGCCTTCGACTTACCTTCGCGTTGGGATTCCACCCTCCGGAGAGTGCAATCTCCAAATCCGGTAGAGATTCTCTCGAAGAAGTCACCGGAGAAGCTTCTGCTGCCACACCCAACAGATCTGGATCTCGAGACCTTGCGCTCCAAGGACGTAACAGAGGCTGTGGGCTGGCTATTGGGACTGTCATCCTCTTCCCCCCCAACGTCGGTCTTTCTTCCTAAATCGGCACACAAGAACTTGTCCTTCTGCTTCACAGAACTCAACCCCGCAATTGCCCGTGTGATTGTTGAAACGCGTGGGCTGTTACGATTGTCCCCGAAGCTCTTGGTATCCAACTTTTTTGCGGAGGCAGAGGATTTAGACGGAAGATAAAGAAAGGACCAAAACCCATTTCTTTTTCTGGGCCTGAAGCTTTCGATGGCTATATCACCGTCCCCAGCATCGTTCAAGAATCTCCCCGTCCCGGGCGCAGCGGAGGACTTGCTTCGCTTGAATATGATGTCAGAGGCAGAAGAAGGCGCGGCCGATGAGAAGGAGGAGGAGTTGTTAGAGGAGGCTTTGTTCTTTTTCTTGGCCAGATGAAAAGGAAGGCGGGCCCGTCGGATGTAATACTGGTGGTACCGAGAATCCTTTGCCCCACTCTTGAGAGCCGACGCCGGACGAGCAGAGAAGGAGAGGGAAGAAGAGGAAGGGGCAGCGGAAGTGGCTGAGGCAGAAGGAGCCATATCGGATCTGAAAGAAGGGGAAGAGGAGGAGGAGGAAGAGGGACGAATGGCGAGAGGGAAGGAGGAGGAAACAAGCCTGCCGAGCTTCTCCTGAAGGCAAAAGGCACAGATCCCGCCGGGGTTGTTTTTGTAAGGATGGTCGCTGCATTGCATTCCATCGCCCATGTCGTCCTCGCCAGCGCCAACTCTCGCTCCACCACCTTTGATTCCTTCCACGGGGATCATTCTTGCAGGTGTTTGTTTCCACAGTCCCACCCCCACAAGCACGGGCCACAGGTGCAGAGAAGAGAGATAGGGAGGGAAGGAGTGAAATGGCGTTGGAATTAGAGGAAGTGAGAGGCAGAGCACGTGGAGGAGAGAGGCGAGGGAGGGAAGTGAATTAAAAAGAGTGAAAGAGACAAGAGAGGGGAAAAGAAGGGACAGGGCGAGGAGTAAATATATTATAATCATGATAATTTCAGAGACATAGCATTGTGGCAGCGGTGAGACTTGTGTGGAAGTGTACAGCCCCCAAGCTGAAGAATCTCCAAAAGACTCTACTCCTCTCTTCCCAGTTCCCCCCCACGCTTTTTTTTTTGGCCTTTTTCGCTCCCTTCCAATTACATGCACAATGCATTCTCTCGCACCCACCCTTTCTCTGTTTTCATCTTTCTCTCTGTTTAATGAATTATTATATTATATTACGCCAGCTCGTCTCGTCTCCTTTCCGAATGAATGGCTCTCATTCAAGTGCAATATCATCAACTGTTGATAAACGCAATTAAGATTCAATCAGGTATGTGCTGTCTTTTTCCTGACTGTACATGCATGGGGTGCCGGGGTTGAAATTCTAGCGAAAAATCAAGAGACGAGACAAGCGCGAGCAGACGATGATGATGATCGCCACCCATGGTGTTTTCGGCTTTTATGCTCACTGTGAGATGATAATGATGACTCGATAATAACCTGACCTTGAGCTTTGGTGATGGGAAAGAACAAATCTTGCACTGTTAAGCGCCCAACAAACTAGACCAACGCAGCAAATCTTCCATCGCGTAAAAGTTCAACTCCTTCGCCAATCACAACCGCAGACCTCAACACCTCCACAAGTTTGTTTTGTTCTGTTTTGTTTTTTTCCTCTTTCTTTTTCTTACCGATCCAACATCTGCAGATGAAATTGATGTTCAGTCTCACCAAAACCGGGTCACCCAAAGGTCTCCAATCTCTCAAATTATTTTGGGCCGTGTTGTATTGTCACTGGTGGTCGAATGTCTCACGCTAAGGAAGATGAGAAAATTTGAAAACGAAAAAGAAAAGGTCACGATATCCAGATCACCATCATCATTAATAATTATCAGTAATATTAAGAAGCCAGCTTGATTATTTGTGGAGAACTGATATATGGGGGAAAAGGCTAGGAAAGAGTATGGAATGCAGGTGGCCGTACGCGTTTGATGGAGAGCAGGGGACATGGAAAGTAATTTTGTGTGCGTGGCAGCAGGGGCTCATACGCTATCCACTACATGATGAACATTATATATATATATATATATATAATCAAACCGTACTTCACTGCTTTGCCGCTCAACGGACATTTCGCGCACTTTTGCTGTTTAATATTATATGTAGTCGGGTCACGGCAGCCTCAAATTTCTTCCTCGCTTTGTTGTTCCAAAATCTGAAATTTCCTTGCACCTGTCTCTAGCCAGGACAAAATAAAGTGTACGTAATAAAAAAATTAATAGAGAGAGACTTGACGTAGTGACGGGAAACTGGTTTAATTTATTGCAGGAGACAATGCCATGTTGCTGCTGATGTGGGTATTGGCTTATGTAATTTTTAATTGAATCTAACAGCTTCGTGTTTCATAGTGAACGGCGCGCGCTAGTAGAGGGAGCCAGTAATTATAGGCATAAACAGAAAAGAAGAAGCGCGGAAGAAATATAATTAGTGAATCGACTAATCTAGTTTGGCTGTCCCCTGTGGCCAGAAGCCGACGTAGAATGTGGGTGGAGTGTATGGTTATTCCAATATTAACATATCGAGTCCTCCACTTGAGTCCTTTTAATTATAAATTTTAGTAAATTCTAAATACATACAATTACAGTCAAACTTACTATCTACTTGATTTTGTTTTCGAAAACTATTTTTAGAACAATAAAAAAAATCATTTGAGCTAGCGTTTCTAATTTAATTGTGTGTCTGAATTAAAAAATTTATAATTAAAGTTAAGATTCAAGTGAGGTTAGTAAACTGAGGTTATAATAAAAGTCTGTGACTTTAACGTGATTTATATTTGAATATTTTTTTTCAAAAGTCAGTTGAATAAACTAAAACTTGTTTGGATGATTTAATTTAAAAGTTATTTGAAACGTATAATAACAAAAATAGACATAAAATTTTTTATATATATTTTTGTGACTCATTTGATATTTTTAAGAAAAGATATTAAACTTAAAATTATAAATTTTTAAATAATTAGAATACAAATAAAAAATACATTGACAAATAAAAAATCTTAATTTTTAACATTGCCAACAAAATATGTGTGTGTATATAGTAATTTGATTTAGGTGGCATAAAGTGATTTAGTTAATTAATCTAAAATATTAATTAATTGTTTGATAAAATAAAAACTAATTATGTTCAATGTCTTTTTTATTATAAATTGCCAACAATATATATACATAATTGTACTAATATCCTAACAAGATATTATATAATTAAATTATAATAATAGACAATTATTCCCTCTGATCTTTGCGACTACCACGACAATGGCTCTTGTTGCTTCTTCATCAGAGGTGTACTCATTGAGGTTAGAGCAACTTTAGGAACAAGATGAGTGCTGAGTTTTGAAGGAGAAGTTCAAGCAAGGTTTCAATCCTTAAGAGTAGGTCCAGCTCAAGAAAAAATCCATGAAGCTTTTGAATTTTTGAAGACTGGCAAACCAAGGAAACGATAGAAGAACTCTAAAAAATAAACAAACTCTCGTGAAGATAAGGATAGAAAGGGAAGAACAAAATTTTAAAAGGCACTTAATACCCCTAATGTGGTCTTCCCTGCCCAACGCTAAGTGAAAAGCTCCTTAGATGAGCTTCACCCAAAACGTCCATTTTGCTTCAACGTGCGTTAGTCTTCTCTTTTATTCCAAACATGTGCCAATGGGTTTTTTGCCTCCCAACTTAGGTTGGGAGCCATCAACCTAGGTTGGAAAAGTTTTCCAAACACACACTAAATGTTTTTAACTTAAACTGTCTTCAAGTAAACATAATCGAGTTCATTTTTTTTTTGACTTGTTTTGAAATATATTAGAAAATAAAATTCTAAAACAAGAAAATGGAACAGCCCTAAGCCTCCACCTAATCAATGCGGCAGTGCGTAACTATAGGCACAGAGTTATAAATCATATTTTAAAAGATTTATTGAATCTCATTTATAAATTACAGTACAATATTAATATTTAAAAAATATTTTTAAAATTATCATTTATAACAGAGAAAAAATAGCATAGCATTATTTTTTAAATTTATTATATAACGATATATTAAAATTTTATATACTTTTATTTTTTATATATTTTTTATATTAATATTAATGAAATTAATGAAAATTATTTATAAATACAACCGGATGAGTTTGTGAGTAACAACCTAGAGGTATGGCTAAGAGTCGGAGCCATGTTCCGTATAATTACTCGCATTTATGTATGCGAGAGTACAAGCACTGCCTCGTTGGCCATAGGTATCGACGGAGAGGAGAGACGCGTGGTTGGGTGAAACTTAAAGAGGCGGGAGACGTGGAATGTAAGTGCAACCCGAGTAAAAGGAATCCTTTTCTTTCATCTTAATTAAACTAATTGTGTATATTTCGAGGAAAAGTATATATATATATATATATATAGATAACTTGTATACTGTTTGTGTAGAAAGGAAGAAGCAAGAGCACAAGACATGGGATGAGGCGTTTGGATAGTGACGTTGACGAGCAGAAATGAACAAAGGGTTGAGAGAGCGATCAAGGGGACATGAAGCTTCAGATCACCAGTTTGAACCACAAAGTGTTTCTGCTGGCGCTGTTGCTGCACGTTCAAGTTCATCATCGGTCCCGCCCTGAAATGTCATCTATTTAACTTATCCTCTCGTTCGAATTATTTTAGGACAAATATCACCAAATAACCATTACAGGTATTTGTCACTCCATCTCCTCAATCTCTTGTTGAAAATGAGTTTTTATAAAAAATAACCAAACAACTCCTAAAATTTAAAATAACAAATGATCACCTTATATAAACAACAAATCATTTAAATTTTGACAATAACTAATTCATAATTAATAACAACACATTTAAAATTTAATAAAATTTAAAAACTGACAATACAAGATGAGTACCTATGTTGTATGAATAAATTATTCAAATTTTGATAGTAATTACTTTGTGGTTGACAATAATATATTTGAAATTTAACACGATTGAAAAATTGATAGCACATGTTTAATGGAATAGTTATTCATCATATAAAAATAACAAGTCATTCAAATTTTAACAATAATCAATTTGTGATTGATAGCTACACATTTCAAATTAAACAAGATTAAAAATTTGATAATACAGGTTTAATGAAACAAGTGTTCAGTCTATATAAACAACAAGCCATCCAAATTTTGGTAACAATCAATTTATGATTGATAATAACACATTCAAACTTCAACAAAATTGAAAAATTGATAGCATGAATTTAATGAATAAGTGTTCACCCTATAAAAATAGCAAACAATTCATCATTGATAATAACACATTTGAACAATTAGATTATATTTAATTGTTTCTCTTTTGTCAAGAGAGGTAATAAATCATTTTTCATAAAAATTTACTCTTAATTAAGAATCAATGGGGTGTGGTAAAAAATTAAAATTTTAAGATCATCCTTTGGTATAAAAAAACTCCAAGCAGTCCACAATTGATATTTTTCCATTATTTTATTCACTCCGGTGCCTTTTCGTTTACTATATTTCTGCATGTTGACACTGCTTTATATTTTTCAAGAGTCTGACACGCGGAGCTCTTCATATATCATTCGAATAAATTATTTTATAATGGACAAAAAGGCAACCCTCTGCATAAACATCATCCCTATCTGTCGGACCTCATCTTCAAATTATAGATTTTTTTTTTATTTTATCTTCAGAATATATAAAAAGCACCAAGAAAGCCTTGATCTCTGTTTTTGTGTGCGCGCGCGCGTGGGCACAAGCAAGCTTCATCAATTTCACTCTCATAGCAAGCGTTCTCCATTGGATACGATGAATCGTCGGAGAGAAACCAACGAAATCAACCTTTCATGTTGCTCGTGAAATACTCTATCAGCAGCAACGGGGAAGTGAGGGAGAAAACTGGCATAGGATCTGCCCAATGGACAGGTTTTGCTACGCCATTAATCCGCGCCTCTCACCGCAACGCTATTTCAGTAGTTTTGATGGCCACTCCTAACATGACCACGTTTAAAATTCCAACCACAATCCCAGTTTTTGCCCAATTAACACCGTAATTTTTTAACTATACATTTTTTGCAAGAGCTTCTTTTAAGGATGGACAAAAAAGGCTGTTAGCACTCGAGGGATTCACACACACACACACACAATGCTGAACAGCGCAAAAGCTGATAACTGCAGGAGAGAGACTGCCCCCAAATCATCTAACCTGGGTCCGATATTGTAATTATTTCGACTTGTTTCGAGTGACATGGGCTCTTTTGGGTCATCATAGTTGTTGTGCAAAGATAAGCCCGAGTTCCGCAGCCCAGCGTTTTTTTCCCCAGTTAAACATACCCAAAGTTTTTGGGCCTAGCCTCGAGTAATGATGCCCTTTAGACAAATATTGTCAAATACAGCCCAATCCAGTTCTATCTCCAACAAGCAATATGATCTTTCTTCAACGGGGAGGGAAAAAAAAAATTAAAGCCTCCACCAATTTAATAAGCTGTATATAATTAATTTGAAGCCATGTTATCACCAACAGCTCACTTTACATTTCCCGTGAAGTTCAAAGCCACCTTCTATTTTGTTATACGGTCAGATACAAGTCTTATATGTTAATTATTACATGCAATCTAGTGTGTGTTTAGTTTTTAGTCTACATCTGACAAAAATTCATTTGGAGAATCTAACTATTTGTTGAATTTTACAAAAGTATATTTCAGATGTAGTTTGAAGGTACTTTTAAGGCTTACCCCAACAAGTTAGTGGTTGCTTAAATCCAGCAAGCCATACCGTGCTATGGCGACAAAGAAGCTGGTAGGAATTGTAAAGGCGTTGTGAATATATATGCTGCTATAACTCGTGTTTGTATTATATTACGTCCGCTGGCTTGCATGCTTTGGGGACATTCAAGTGCCGTTAATCTATTTTTATGTCATCTGGTTCTGAAACTTCGATCATATTTTGGGAACTTGCTTTGCTATGAGATGAAGGTTGATACTTGTTCAATGCGAGTGATGCCTCAAATCTGTGGGTTTAATTTTCAAGTCTTGAAGGTCTCTGTTCCTTTCCAGTGCACATTATTGATCACGAGGGTCCAAAGAATGATTTTACGGCTTAACACGAGAGCCTTTTAGAAAAACTCTGCAGAACGCGTACAAAATGTGGCTGCAAAAGTAGAGAAGCATTAATAATGAAGCGAAGGTGAGGTGAAAGGCTGACGCTACCATTTGCTCTGTTAAGGAAGAGAATCGACAGAACACAAATTGAGAATTGAAGGAATCTTTCTTTTGTTGGCGATTCAGATATACTGCTTCGTTGTGACCGTCACTCTTTAGTCGGTCAGTCTGCTTAAAACACACAAGACCTGCATCAGGAAACAGGAATCACGGGTCCCTCTGCTTTAATTGAAAGAGAAAATTGTACACACCGCCTCTGTGCTACAGCCCATTTGCTAAATAAATTTACATGTTAGACAAGCTTGATTTGATTTTATCATCGAATTCTTTATGCTTCTATTCACGATTAAACCCGGGTGTTTTATTTGCTAATATTAACATTTCAAATGCGTACACTCTCTCCTCAAATCTTCAGGCAGGATTGAACGAGAAGCAAGTGAAAGAGTAATGGCCGTTGAAATAGATCAAAGTGTGGCAGTGCAAGTGAATTGCAACAATAATAAACAAAAGAGGAAACAATTAACTAGAAAATTAATGGTGATGACAGAAATCAAGATAGGCAGAGGTGGAGAGAGGAGGGATCCATAAGGACCACAACTCTCCTTAACTTTTTAATTTTTTTTAATAAAATATAGAGATTATATATTTTTAATATCCTAAGTTGACACATTATATAAATTTTGAAACACTAAAATTCTTATTTTAATTATTATATAGTCTTTTACAGTATATATAGTGCAACTGTTTTAATAGTTTAAAAATATAGTTGTTATGGGATCTACTTATTTTTTTTAAAAAAAATAATATTACACATGCTCTTAAAATATTTATGTCATTTTATTTTACTTTCATTTAATATTTAATAAAAAAATTATGAGAATCATTATTAGCAAATTTTTAAAAATTTTAAAATATATTGAATGTTATGTGGTTGATATGTATCATAAAATCATCTATCTAAAAGTTAAAAGGTTATGGTTAAGGTGTTTTTATAACAAAATTACTTTTTTTTATAATCAAGCTATTGAAATTTATGATATGAATAGTTTTATTTTAATATAATTTGATTTCATCTATGTAAAGATTTTGTAATAACTGAGCATCATTGCTGTATTAATATATTTATTTACAGTAATTATCAATTGAAAGAATTAAATGATAAATTCAACAAGTAAGTAATAAAGCTTATTACATTAAATAAAACTTTAAATTCTAATTATACATTTAAATCATTTAATGCTCACAAGGAAGACAAAATTTTTACTAATTTTATGATAATTTATATAGAGAATGAAATCATTAAAATGCTTATCACAGATATAATAACTAATGATTTTCATAACGTGAAAAACTGATGAGCAAAACTTAAAAAAATGAATATGTATTTATTTGTTTTATATGTGTGAAATTGAATATAAATATATAAGTTAAAATATTTATCTTATGTTGGTGATATATATAGATTTAACTTTTCTTTAATTATCATATATATTTTATTATCCTGATTTTTTTCAATAAAGATTTTTTGCTCCACTGCTGAAAGTAGGTATTTACAATTTTGACACTGGATGACAAAACTTATATATTCAAGTTACTAAGTTTCGGGAGAGTAGTCTCTTCATTTTTTCCCCTCCATTTCCCTCCACTTTCCCCATCCCCATCATTCAAATTATTTTATTAAATAATTTTTTTAAATGACAAAATTAATGAATGATGGGGATGGGAGAAGTGGAGGGAAATGGAGAGAAAAGAAATGGAGAGACCCCTCTCCCTTAAGTTCCATCATTAACTGGATTTGTGGTCGGTGCTGCTTACGTGGTTCCCTGCTCCAACTTTGGATATCTCATTTTTGGCGCATCGGTAAGATATCATATTCCCTTGTTTCTCATTCTTCCCCCGTCTTCTTCCTCCATTTGTTTCTTCATTCACATGCGCACCTTCTTCGTCATTACATTACATGCAGACGCCTGTTATGAACAACGGTTTCACTGTTAATCTCAAATTAATCCCTTGCCTCCATGTCTTCCCTCAAAACGACAGCACTTACTGCCGTTGGAGCTGGTAATTTAAATGGGTGGTGGCTTGAATAACTAAGTTCAGCCTGAACTTGTTTAGGTTTTTGATTGACCTGAATATTTGAATTATCATTTTTTTTATTTTTAATTAACTTTTATTTTAAAAATATTTTTTATAAAAATATAAATATCTTTTTTTAGATACTTAAATGATGTAAAAATCCTCAAGTTTTTTAAAAAAATATCCAGTTCTTAAAATTTAAAAATTAATACTGAAATAAATTTTAGATATTAATCTAAAATATTTTGTAGATTAAAAATAATAAAAATATGATAATATGATTATTTTTACCTTTTTAAAAAAGATATATACTAATGCATTCAAATATATAATATCTTAGTATAAAATGACCTAAAACTTAAAAATTTAATTAATATTTATTATATTTTTTGATATTCAATTTTTTATTCAAAATCAAAGTTAGCCTGAATTTTTTCTGCCCTATTTAGGCTAGGCGGAAACAAAAAAAAAAAACACAATTTTTTTTTGGCAATTTGACCTTTTGGTAGTATCACGGTCAAATTGCCTAATCTTTTTAAGCTGGATTCTAAATTTTTTTAAACTTATTTAAATTATCTTGAATTATTGACTCTAAATGCAGAGTAGTGAAGGTAAGAAAAACGTTTTACACAATGTGCTGAAAAATTAAAAACCATGGTAAAGTGGGAGAGGTGCATACCTGTAAATGATGAACAGTTCAGAGTACTGACGAACTTTTTTTTTTTTTAACATAAAAAAGATTATAATTGATGAAACATACCATAGTACAACCTAAAATGAGGTGGTTGAGGCAAAGAACGGTAAAAAATCTGCATATATACGATTCTACAGTTGTGATTTACCAATATTTCTCCAACACGTTAAACTGTCAATAATTCAAACATTTTCTCTTAAAAAGTCCATACATGGGTAAATATAACGAGGGATTCAACTTGCTATTTGCCGCCTGTAATCACGTGAAAATGATTATTCTATTAGCAATGATCAAGAGGGTGATTTCCAACCATCAGCGACCTGAGACTAGTTTTTATCTTAGGTGGTAATATGTGTGCGTCTACATATATCCTGCTTTTATTATGTTTAAAGCCCTTGTCCTCAACTAAACATAAATTCAAATATTTTGGAAGATCGACGGTACACACATACCTATTGCATGAAGATGTACCAGTTATGGAGCAAAACCGAAAATTGACAAAAAAAAAAAAAGCCGAATAAAGATGATAACTTAGCTTGTGAAAATATGGAATGAGCCAAATGAATGAAGGCGACAAACACAGGTAGAGTTGGCATCACATCAGAGACAGAAAACCCAAAGCACTATTCTGCATCGTCGTTTTGGTTAAAAAACAAACACCATTCCCTCCCACAAGACTACCCCCCCTCCCAACCATCTCTATCATTATTAGTTAAGGATTAAATTGCTTCTCGCATCTCGCATCTCGCATCATGCATACTCCCCCCCTGAAGGGTTAAACAAAAGTCACGTTCTCTGTTATTCAAGGTCCCATGAGTGCCCTTCCCTTTGGCTGTCCCACAATATATTTCCAGTAACCCTACGGTTTCACTTTCAGGCCACAAGAATAGAGTGCGCTTCACGTTTCAACTTTTCATAGCTTTTGAGCCAAAGGAAATTGATGATGACGATGATAAGTGGGAAGGGCGTGTTGGCTTCATACTAGGAAGCAAAAGGACGGGCCATTACAAAATAAAGCGAGGGCAAAACTGGAATGTCATTGCCAGAAAAAAAGACAAAAAGGCTTCTCCCAGTCTCAGTAAGCGAAGCCACCGCCAGCTCGGTTTTCTGGTGGTTTCCGGTGATAGCGTGGGGCCGGGGAAGTGGGCGAAGAAGCAGACCGGGGTCTGATGGCAGCAAAAGAACAATTTTCTATGTCAATGCTTTCGTCGTCGTCGTCGTCCATGAACATCTGCTTGCACCTGCACTCCTGGCTACAGAAGGCCTTGTCTCCCCTGCAAGGCCGCAAAATAAGCTCGCGGACATCCACAATGAACCATAAAAGATCCCGGGTTTGCGAGGAGAGAACAGTACTTACTTGTACATGTAGATGTCTTTTTCGAGGGAGAGCCTGTTCCTGCAGAGAAAGCATTGGTCCAGGAAAGCGGAGCGGTTGGAATTTGAAGAGCATGGTGTCTCGTTGTGGAGGATGGAGATGGCGGTTTTGTTGATGACTTGAGGGGTGTTGGTGGGAATAACACCTCTCTGGGATTCCAACACAATACTCAAACCCACCATAGTTCCTGCCGATGACCGAGGGAGCTGGGTGGATCTGGATGGAAACAGTGCATAAAGAGCAGGGGAGAAAGGGGGGTGACTGTACGGAAGAGGGGGTGGGTGGGTTCCGCTGTAGTTACAGCTATTCAGCAGTGAGAAAGAAAGATTTGACTGATGCGGGCCGGTTGAGCGCCACGTAGCGGGGTTTAGTTTGCATTTATGCGGTTGCTGAGGGGAAAAGGTATCATGGTACGAAGGAGCAGCTCCTTCTGTTCAAGTGCGTGCACCAAGAACCAGGAAGAATGCGTCCCTATAATTTAAACCTTTTCGTCATGTACTAGCGCCTGCCCTCTGTTCCGCCATTATCGATTAATATAACGCCTCTTTTTAATCCTCCATTTCTTCGCAATCTTGTATGGGATGGTATTGCTTCAAAATACATATGGTATACGTGTATGTCCTACGTGGATGAACAGTATTCATGCTGGCAGAGTTAGTCCATTTAGTACAGACTAATGAGACACTGACTGCGCGTTTATCTTTTAGCTTTCCCTTCAACTGCCAGAATTTTTATCACAATCGGCTTCTTCCGCAAAAATGATCCATGTTTTCTTTCTTTGTTGCATTCTTTCCAATCTTGCATCGTAACCCACCCTAATGATGAAGGACCAGCATTTATTTCATGTGTGTAGATTTAATTTTGCAAACAGACACCAACCTTTTACTATGGTAAGAGAATTCACGCAAACTGCACAAACCCTCCAGGGTCAGAACTCTCAACTTCTCCCTTTATATTCATGAGGTGCTTCCTTGTTATTGAGCCATCAAAGCTCTAGCTTCGTGTATGTCTATTTGTGTGTCAAGGAGATGAAGCGGTTAACCGATCTGAGGTTGGGCATTTTGGGACGCATGAGATGTAAAACCAATTAGGTTGCAGAAAAGAACAGAATGGTTGGAAGGAGTGAAAAGGACAAGTGAATATGACGTGAAAGTATGATTTGGTAGGGTGGGGGAGATGGCCCGGCATGAAGCCTAGCGTGAATGGTATTATTGTCGTGAACAATATGATTTGCAACTGTTTTTATAATTTACAGTAATGCAGTGATTTTAAAGTAAAAGAAGTTACCTAGGGGGAAAAGGAGGGCCACCCTTAGGGGTGGATATGCGTGGTTGCACCCAGCGTAGTACAAAAGATTCCACGCCCAAAGCCGCCTTCCCCGTCGACAAATGTCATTCCTGCCTCCTCTGTACTCCCTTCCTATCTTCAACACATCTATTGTACTTTTTTATTTTTCTGGTTGGCCAAAACGCATCCATATCCTATAACTCGCTCGAAAAATGCTATATATATAATGGATAAAAGCTAAATTACATCTAATTTAAACTCCTTAAATTTTGGGCTGTGCTTGGATGATTTTCCTAACTTATAAAAAGAAATACCCACGCAACAACTCCATAGAAAAGCTACGCCGTGCGCTGATATTTCCACAAATAAGTGCATTTATGACTAGGATTTTGCAACTGATCCAAAGTTTAGTATTCGATCCGTTCATTAGTATTCCAAGGCCCAAAACCTGGTGGAGCGCCCTACTTTGCTTGGTGGTGGTGGTGGTGGTGTTGTTATCATTATCATTTTGCACTGCTCGACGATGGATTTGACAGATGAAGAAGAATCGACATCATCTGGAAATTAATAACAAAAAATACAAAGGATTGTTCAGCTTTGTTTGGACACCAACATCCGGACAACACTCTCTAGATCAATTCATTCTAAACTCTGTTCAGTCTCCTCCAGGGGATCGGAGGATGGAAGCAAAATTATCTTACATTTATGGTCAATTTCAAAAGAGGAGGATTAAGGATAGAGTGAAAGGATTGTACGAGCCCCATTCAAAAAGTTTTATTCATTCTATACATTTTTCAGTTTAAATCAACAAAAATAAATAATCAAAATTTAGAAAATCCAAATTCAAAGGGAAAACCAGAGAAGAAGGATCGATCCTGAGCAAGATAATATCATGCCTATATCAAATACTCGTATGGGCTGTTGCATGTTCGCTTCTTCTGAACCAAGGCGATGCTTTTACATGCAGAATTGCAGATAGTGTTTGAGTTCGCTGGTGTGAACTGTAACGCATGAAAATCAATGTGAACTCGGTAATTGAGGGACCTCGAAGGGGAAGTTGACACAAGTTTCGTTCTTTTGAGGTTTTGAAGGATTGAGAGAATGTGAACCATTTTGGGAGAGTTGGTTCATGCAAGAGTGAAGAATGAACAAAGGAGTCGAAGATGCTTCTCATGATCTGAATCCCATTTTTAACTACGCATGGCAATGATATATTTGAGCATCTGATCTGTCGTGTAAAATTGCAGGGACGCGAAACCATTTTACATATACCCGTCAACGAGTCTAAATTTCCAACGATGGCTTTTGGAGATTCAAAAAATGCAGCCTCTTCTCAGCTTGAGAACAAATCAGATATCAATATTTAAATTTCATAGCACACTTTAATTTAATAGACGCGCGTCCCTTCACCCCCTGCCAGACTGCCAATCTGCACTTGTTCAGCATTCGGGTCTTAATCTCCAAAGTTAGGCTAGTTTTTACGCTGACCAGACTGTTGAACAATTTCTAACCAGTTTCATTTTTATATTTGTGCTCGTCATAGCATTGCATTGATCCTTGAAGTACTGTTCTCCTTGTGTCAAATCCAAAACGAAACAGGATTGTTTATCCAAGGGTCCTTAATTATTCCACATAACAGTGCCATATCCCAAGCTTGCTTTGCAGCTTGGGGAGATGCTTTTGCTTTTCCCCGTATCTTTTTCCAAGAAAAAAAAAACATAAGAAAGGGCGAATTAATTTGAGATCCCACGCACTGCATTTAAATACTATAAGGTTCGTTAATAATAGATTAGTCACTTAGGATGATTTAGTTGTAACAATCAGCAAGCACAAGAGTTGTTCACAAATGATCAGCATAAACCACCCACACTCAACAAGAAACTGAAGGACAAGGATGAAAACACAAGCAGAAGTGAAGGACGAAGATGCAAACAGAAATAACATTAAAACTTGTGAAAGAAATCATAGATGTGCTTGTTGATATCAAGGGGCCTTTCTTGATGGAGAAAGTGAGCCACCCCTTGCATCACAACTACATCCTCCAGAAGCGGCACATCTCTCTTCATCCCTCCCTTGTGAATGTAATCTTTCATTCCCGGCGCATTATAGGTCAAGTCCACATCACCCACTATAAACTTCACCGGCACCTTTATTTGAGCACCTGTCCACGGGGCCGTCAGTTCCCAATTCCTGCAATATTCAACAGAAGCTATCATCAATTCTATTCTAGAATGGATTAAAAAACAACCCTTTCTTTTCTTTTAAAAGGAAAGTTGTACATGACATACAGATCCAAATTTCTATAGTAGTTCAATCCCCCGGTGAAGCCGGTTTTGTCATATTTGGTGGCATAGTAGTTGCATTCTTCCTCGGATAGCCATGGGGGCAGCACAATGGGAGCATCGCGTGGATGTCCAAACCCTTTACCCTTTGGCAGATAAAGTGGGCCAGGGTTGCGGTATGTCAGGAATTCCTTCACAACTCTCTCGGTGCCAATTTGACCAAACTCAGACTCAATGTCTCCAGGCTCCTGTAATGATGAAGCAACAACCAACAACTATATTACTAGCTACACAAAACCTACACCAGTGAACATCCTCTGTGATTAATTAACCAGAGCTTTGTCTTCGGGGCGAAGTTAATGGAATACCTGCCTGTTGGGGGGAAAAGGAAGGGGGGCTTCGAGTCAAAAACACGGCAAGTAAAACTGAATTCTTCCCCTAGCTTAAGCTTCCAATCTTGATGGAAGTCGATCAGATAATATATTAAATGTAGTTATTGAGACAGAACATGTCCCCCCTCGGATCAAAAGCTTCCATGACAAATAAATTAAAATTCCCGAACCCAGGCATGTAGGCAGGGCATAGTGAGGATGTGATGAATTGATGCCATAAAGCGCTTGACCCACTAATTTAAACTAAAATTAAATATGTTGTAATTCTCCTACACATCACTATCACGGAAATGCTAACAGTTGTAACAGAAGCAAGTCGGAAGTCGGAAGTACACCTGAAATCTGCAAATATAGTAATCAGTGCCATACACAGCTCTTAAGGTGTCAAGCGGCTTTCTTTTAGGGTTCCTGGGGGTGAAAGGGACGCTCAAGTTAACCAAAGCCCTGACTCTTTCAGGGCGATAGAGGCAGAGATACCAGGCAGTGATGGCTCCCCAGTCATGTCCGACCACAAACACCTTATCTTCACCGGGCGCAATGACGTCCAGAAGGCCAATAAGGTCGCCGACGATGTGGAGGCTGGTGTAGGCAGCGGGTGCGGCCGGAGCGTCTGTGTCACCGAAGCCACGGAGGTCTGGAGCCACGCACCGGTAGCCTAAGGAGGAAAGGGCTGCGATCTGGTGGCGCCACGAGAACCAGAGATCAGGGAAGCCATGGATGAATAGGATCAAGGGGCCCTGACCCTTCTCTGCTATGTGCATGTTGATTCCATTCACGCTTACTGTTCTGTGCTCTATCCCCTCCATGCTCCGGCACGCGTGGGTATCGCTTGCTTTGCTGGCCATCCTCTGTTGGAGGTTGCTTCCTGGCTTTATACAAATCAAGTGAGACGATGCCCCCCGCTTTTCTTTGCTTCTTTTTCGTTGTAAAAGCAAAAGCCATCTGCCGCCGTAAATCATTGTCTCTTTTTTTACCCCCCGTGCGTGTCATGCCACTAGTTTAAAAATCAACAGTATCTTATTTTCATGAGAAATCTTAATTTAAAAAATGTGAAGTGTTGTTATTATTATTAATATAAGTAAAGGACTCACTGCCTTTTCTATTTCGTCATATTAATTAATCGATTAAGTTGGGAAGCGTGAATTTCAGCCCAAAAAAAAATGTGACCGAGGCCCAAGGGCCCAAAAGAGCAAGCGGGGAGCATCTTTATGTGAATCACGTGTGTTGTGAAAATTCAAAATTGTGCCCATCAGAAGGACTGAGCTTCCTCCTTTGAAAGAGGAGCTTCCTTTATCTCTTCTTTAAAACAGAGGTAATCTAAACAATTTAAATTTAATTTTTTAATTTTTAATTTTTAATTTTTATTTTTAAAATAAAAAATATAAAAAAAATTTAATAAGTATACTTATGAATCTGATAATCTAAATTTAACATAAATAATCTAAATTTAATATAAAAATTTAAATTAACTTTTCAAACATATTTTAGACAGTTTAAATATATTTTAAACAGAACAATAAATTTATTAAAAAATATTAATATTAAATTTAGAGCATTTATATTAAATCTAAAGTTAGATTGATAAGTATATTTATTAATAATTTTTTACAATTTTTATATTTTAAAAATATAAATTTAAAATAAAAAATAAAAATATTAGTCTAGATTAAATTTCGGCGGTTCAGACTATGCCATACAAGGAAGCGCGTCACTTTGGACGATGGGGAAGGATACTTCAGTTCACTGCGAAAATTATCGAAGCGGCAGCGAGCAGGTTACGACTTCGGAGGCCCACATTCAGGATCGGATCATACTTGAGAAGAAGCCATTGTACAGAGAGCCCGTGAGTTAATCTGGATTAGCTCAAAATATTATTTATATTGAAAAAAATTCAGATTTCTTCGTAAACCATTATCTTGATTCGGTGAGACTCTGACTCACCAGTCACCATCGCTGCCCCCCACTCTCGCTCGTTCAGTGACTTGCTTCACGGACACCCGCTTTAGAGACGCTGCAGCAGCACGGTCTCCTTCTTTTTCATCTTCACCGGCCATTCACTGTTCAGTCTTCTTCTTATTAGTTCAGTCGCTCGGCTTCCTCCTCCTTTCTTCTTCGTCTTCGTCGTTCAGTCTACCTCCTTCGCTCGCTCAGCATGAAAAAATGGCAACCTGAGAACTGAAATGATTCTTCTGGTTTCGTCCCATCAACAAATAATAGTCAGAAAGCGTGTTGGCCGCTCAACCTTTGAAAGGCGCTCTCCATATTTTTAAAATATCAACCTAATTAATTAACGGTCCGTATTACTTATCGTGTACATATTTTTTTAAAATATTTTTCTTGTAAATGTATTACAGACTACTACTTTGGTTTCTTACTCCTCATTTTCTTTTCTTCTTAATTTCATTGTAAAATAAATTGTTATTATACAACACAATTATCAAATAAACACAGAAGTCCGATTTGTTACAACTGTACTTGGCTATATAACTTTTTATGTGTGTTCACCCTGTTCAATTTACCATCTCTAATCATCAAGTTTTGTAAAAATATTTGTAATAATGTCGCCATTGCCATCTGGCATGTCCAAACTCCACAGGTTTTATGCTTTTATCATTCTTTTCTATCCGCTCATTCATTGAATTTTTTTCAATTATTGGAAATAACATGTTATATGAGATTGAATAGCGTGCAAGTACCTTTTGTCGTGCATCGGTGCGTATTTTATTTTCATTTATCTGTTCTGGGTTAATAATTGTTGATGAATCCATGAATTCAAATATTGATCCCACTAGGAACATTTTAACTGTTGGCGAAAATTATACTAACCACCATCAGAGGAGGAAAAACTAATATTGAAGGGCAAAAAAATTGTCAAGTGATAGAAATTAGGTCAAAAGGATCAAGGTTTCAAAACAAAAAAATAAATAAAAGTGCACTTTTATATCTAAGCTTCCGGGATTTATAATGAGCTTTGATGATTCTTAAACACATTTTCATAATTTACAAAACTTTTACAAGTTACAATTTATTTGCAATACACATTTTTTCCTCATTAGTTAGGCTAGCAATTAGCTAAAAAGTTTACAAAGACAAAAGAATCTAGTTCATGTGAACAATCACGGGCCATTTTGGCTAAGAAATCAACACACTTGTTTGTCTTGTATTTGAATTCTTTGCGTGGAATGCATATATGGCGACAAGTGGTAGCATGAGAGGCGTAAGACTAAATCTACTCAAAAATCTTTATGCTGCTAACAATATTCAATAAAACAGTGGGTGCATAGACTATAGTAACTTTTTCATCTTCCTTCATTGTTTAGTCGGCACATTTTAGGGGTAAAACCCATTTCTCTATTTCATCAAGAAGCTTGTTAATTGTTGTTCATTGTTTTTTTAGTCATCGACCTTTGTGGGTGTTGAAGACGCCAGTAGTTTTTACTTCCTTTGACTTCCCCTGTTAACAAACCCTTCTATGTATAATTGTTTTTCTCTGTCACGCTGTTTGAGGGAAAGGAAAAAATAAGAAATTGAAGTGATTGCCATTTATTGTAATGTTTGAGATTTATTTTTATTTATGTTGAGAAAAGAGGATGTTTTTATTTATGCATATGTTGGAAAGAGGATGATTATGTTTGCGTCTATGCTGAAAAAGAGTATGATTTATTGAAGAATTGCACCAGGGGCTTTGAATCGAAGAGGGAATAAACACTAGGAAAAAAAAATGGAACCAGCAAAATTTTAGCCATTGATATAATCAATGTCTAATAAACTGCCACATGCCGCCTTGCATTTCACGCGTGGACCTAGTCCATGCATGGGATCCGAATCCGTTTGCCTTGGGAGCAACATGTGAGATCTTTTAGTCTGTACAAATGTTCTCTTGCGCCTCTGTTATGTCTTCAGCAAAAGGATGATCAGTCTTTACACCTCTATGAATGAGGTTAATCGTGTCCAATGAATCATAGTATATGAGCGCCTTCTCAATGTCGAGACTTGAGCATTGCAGGCCACGTTTAATAGCATAGACTTTGGCTACAGCAATAGAAAGGTTGCCCGGATTTGTAACAAAACCTTTCATCCATTCACCCTCTAAATTCTGAGCCAAGCCACCGCAAGTAGCATTGTTCTGTTAATTCAAAGAGGTGTCCACCTCTACTCGTATCGTGTTTTTGGGAGGGAGCCACCCATTTAAGAAGATGAGTATTAGCCAATGCCAAATGATGTATTTTGCAGATGATCCAAATCTCTTTCTTCCACTAATCCCCTCCTGCGTGCCTGGATGATGTCCACAGTAGTGTAATCAGTCCCTTCCAAAAACTCTCATCCAAGGCCAGGGACGAAAAGATCTACCTTTGATAGGTTGGGAGGTGTTCATCCGAAGCTTTCAACATTTTCACAGTTGATCTTTCAAAATTTACAAATAAATTTTCATGATTTGCAATTGAGCTATAAAATCAACTACGCGAGGGCATTTTCATTCATTTGTCGCATCAATCATTGATCTTCAAGTTAATGTTATACCAATTGCATGAGTGGCTTGATTTCAAAGATATCAAAATGATTGGTCCAAAAATAAAATTCAAATATTTCTACCCAGATTTTTCTTCAAACACGCCTCATTACTTTTTTTCCTTAATAAGGAAATATACATCACGAGTCACTACTTGACCAACGGTCGAATGAAGTAGGAATTCCGTGGCATGAAGCGAGATCGTTCTAAGATAGCGAGTCACTGCATGTTGATTTTTTTGTATGTTATTTCATAACAAACTCTTGTTATTAATATATAAAAATTCATTTATCTTGATTTGATTGAATAAAAATATGTTAAGTATATAAAACTAAACATAAAAATCTTCATTTAGAAAAAAATTGCTTCCATTTGAAAACCAATTTCAAGCAATCTTTGTTATGGCATTTACTGTATTTAAAATTTAAAAAACAATGCAAGGGTAAAATTCAAGAAACACTGTATAATAGCATTATATAAAATGTACAATGTTTAACTAGTATTTCATAACATGTAAAAACAACGCAGGTTGTTTATTCCTCATAATATCAAAAATAAAAACCATGCAATGTATCTGAAAATAATATATCTGCAATTTTTTTAGACAAAAAATAGATCCATCAGTAAAAATAAGTTAGTTGGAAAGAAAAAATAATTTAATTCAATATTTTTTACTTTCCATTTTAATTCAATTCAATGAATCGTTGAACACCAAAAAAAAAAAATTCAATGGTTCAATGTGGGATCCCTCTACCCATTGCAGCACAAGGAGCGTCCAACGCCACACGAGTTGTCACTAAAAGACAGCTGCAGACCGCAAGGGCATTTAACAGCTCAGCGGAATAAACGATATTTGTTTATACGACTCCTTTCAGTTTTTTTTTTTTTTAATTTAGTTTTTATAAGCCATATTTACTATTTTTTTCTAAAACTTTTAAAAAATAAAATCAGTTAAATATTAAAATTAAATTAAACTTTTTAAGAAAATTTCAAAACTATGATTGACATGGTTGGTTGAGAAGATGGATAATAAAAAGACATGAATTAAGAGTGAAAAGCATAAGGATACTTTTAAAATTGGGTGATAAATATTTGATCAAATTTCATCAACAAACTTGGATTAAGAAAAAGTGTATAGTAGGACCGAGATAGTAATTAATATCAATATTAACAATCTATTATTAATAAAGTTGGCCCACACTGCATGTTTAGTTGTTTACCCTCCTCCGTTGCGACATCGTCATCGGGTGCCTATGCTATGACCTATGACCGTCCCGGGTTCAGGGACTCTCGCTCTGAAATTCCATCAGTCCCTGAGCACTCGTTGTCGTTCTGCTTTCACGTCTCCCTCTGAATTCTGAACACTGAACTGAAGTATGGCTCGCCGCTCGCCTTTTGAGTTTTGACACTTCTATTACTCCATCTTGAAACGTCGCCGTTGGGACGGGGTGGGGCACTGGTCGGGTCCTGTGGCCTTTCTTTCCTGGTGGTTTTACATGCCCCCATGGGGTCCCACCCTCCTGCTATCGTCTTTGTCCTGTTTTTCCATCTCCCTTATTTTCCGTTTTCCATACTCAAATATTTCTCCCCCTTTTTTATACTCATCACCAGACTTTGATCAGAGAGAACCCGATATTACTAGCATCTCTCTCCTCAAAAATTCAAGTAACCAACACTTGAATCCCACAGGGACGAGGAGGAGGATCCATCCATTCTCCAGTGGATCCAAAAGCCAAAATCGAAATTTCAAAAATAAAAAATAAAAAACCAGACAGAGAATAAATCCACGGCCCACATCATAAATTTAACCCATTTCCCCTGAATAGATAGCTACAATTAGTTGCTGTAGACACGGTTAAACAGCTAGTTCGAAAGCGGCGAGCGGTTGCTCAAGTGACCAAGTATAAGGGCACGGCCGAGGTGGACATCCTCTGCTGCTGCTCCATTGTGAGTTGCCGGAGACTCAGATAAGGTATATCCAGCTCGCCCTTGGCCAGCGGACCCGAAGATGGCCTGCTGGTGGGCAGGTATGGTGTGGTCGACCCGCTCCTGCTCTCCGTCAAGTACACGGGTCCCGACAAGGAGGCCCTGAAAGCGCGAGCCCTGGCCCGGTGGACGTCGTCATCCACATCTCGCCGTTGTTGATGAGCGCGCCTCCATTTGAAGAAGAGGAGAGCAGTTTTCCACCAGCGCTTCCTTTTGGGCTTGTGAATCTTGCCGGACTCGTCCTTAGAGATGGGTTTCTGCAGCTTGAAGTGTATGGAGTCTATGGATCTTGCAGTCTCGCGCTTGTGCTTCATGGCTTCTTCCAGCACCTGCTTTCGCCAACAACAATGAACGGATCATTAAAGGAAGAAGAAAAGGACACAAAGACACGCAGAGACGGAGGGATCAAGAGATGGACCTGAAAATAATCAATCTGGGGGTCAAAGCCATAGTCACTGAAGTGCTGAGGCTCTGGCATTGGGAAGACGGGGGATTTGGCGGACATTCGTGACTAATTGCTCGGTATTTCGGGGAATAGATGCTATGGAAGGGGTGAAACGGACGAGGAGATGAGAAACTAGTGAGGTTGAGGGCAGGAGCGAACAGGGAGAAGCCGTTGCCGTTGCCGCTGCCGCTGGTAGACCCTAGTAAATGCTTTTCACGTCTCTGAGACTTCCCCATGCTCCCTTTTTATTTATTTACTTCCTCCCACTCCTTTTTTTTTTTATTAAAAGAAAATCACATTTATGTCCTCTCCTCACACACTCGTCACGAGAAAACGCATCTGAATGTCAGTGAAACAGTCATGGATGCGGGACAATGTAACTTAACTGACTCGCTATTTTTCTCCCATGTCAAGTTGTTGTGATAAAAGAAGTGAAATTCTTTTTCTTTCTTTTTTCGTTGATTGGATGACAACTTCAACCTAGCTTCACGCGTGAACGGGAATTATTTAAACCTTCTAATCCGCCGATCCACCTTAGTGGTGAGGGGTAACGTTGCCTTTTCCTGACATGTTCTCGTCATCTCCTCCCCGATCTGCTCTCTTTTAGGATCCCCCCCCCCCCCCTTTTTTTTCTCGTTAATTTTTTATGCGAATTTGGGCACCTTCGGCCGATTGGTCTCGTCACTGTGGAGTGAGCATTCAAAGGCTCTTTTGAACGAACCAAAGTGTTCCGTGGATGGAGAATAGAGTTTGTTTAGTCGCTTTCAATCTTAAGGTGCCGATCCTTGCACTTTTGTTGTGTATGCGAAAGTAAACCTTCTTTTATTTATGGATCAGGCTGAAATTTATGCTGCGAGTTTAGCAACGTTGTTCCGGTTTGAACAACATCAATTGATCTAAACTGAACAAAATCGACTGCAAATAACGATGGTGTTTATTTTCGTAATGTCCTGGGCAAATAATAATAATAATTTCATAATGTCAAAATTGATAGACTTCGTTTGGCATTGATTTGTTTCGACTTGAATCAGACCAAACACGTCCTCTTCGTTAATTTTCGGCTTTATACTTGTAAATTCCTAACATCAGGCCCAGTTCCACATACATGAAATCTCTTCAAGTTTTCTCTACTATAGTTATCAAGAAAAAATAATAATTAGAGATCTCATAATAATATTAATTATAATTATATATCCTGAGTTATTAAAATCTCAAAAATAAATTATGATTTTTATTTGTAATAAAATATTTTTGTTAATTAGTTTGAGATTTTCAACTGACACTACAAAGATCTTAAATATCTTTTATTCATTTCCCAAAAGATTTATCAATATATCTTGAGTGTATTTTGTAGCAACCAATTTATTTATATATTGACAGCAAAAAATTATAAGTGATTGACTTATATTTCACAACTAATTATCATAAATTCTCAATTAACATTATAAATAATTTTCAGTGTATTTTATTAATTTTTTAAGTGATTTATTTATATTTTGATAGCAAAAAGTTGAGATTATTCTTGTAAATTTCCAGCTGGTATTACAAATATCCTCCGTGTATTTTGATCCCAAGAAACTATTTGCATTTTTTTAAATTACAATTAAGGACCATAACTTGTTATTAAAATTTTAATAATTCAAAGCCTGTAATTATAATTAATATTCTTGTGGAGCCTTTAATTGTCATTTTTCCTCATGTTATTTATCATAGAATTGATACTGCTTAAATTTATATTATCTTTACAAATCGAATTAAATAGACAAATACGTTGAGATTTCGATATATTGATGCTTGGAGATTTAATTCAATATTTCTAAATTTTTCAATAAGGTTAATTAGAGAGTATACATGTGTGATAGTATGAATATTTAGTTTTATTTAAAAAATGAACGTGAATTTAAATCGAATTGATTATAGATAGAATGAATATGGTTGGGTTTTGGATTGGGTGGCCAAGTTAACCCTCACAATGGTGAGGGAAAGAAGGGTCAAACATAGAAGCCGCTAGCTTTGTGTTTCCCAAAAGGTGTGTTCCACATTTAACTTCCACGAATAACTGTTGATCTCTGTTGTGTCTGACGGATTATAAGTTTAGACCTGGTCTTCACGAGCAAGGATTAATAACCGAGACAGTTTTGCACCTTCCTTCGGGGTCAAACATTATACACAGACACACACACATCTTAACTTCTAATCTTACCTTAACAATTCCATGGAATTTCTTTTTCTCTGCCTCACCTGTTCATTTTTCTTCCTTTTTCACTATGTTCTATTTTACCCAACATAACTTGAAATAAAATATCCCCTCAACTTGTTCGACTTCAGTTTCATACGATATAAGCCTTGCAATACAATAACACTCCTGGCCCAGGTCTAGCTTCTTCTTGTTTTTTTTTTTTTAATTACAAGACAAACCTACGTTTGGATAGAAATTACAAAACTTAAAAGAAAAAAGTTAACCCTTCCTATCATCTAGGGATAAACTAAAATTGATAATTTGGACCGAACCCGATGAATTAGCTCGAACTCGCCTAAAAAATGTTAAGGTCGGACTCAAAAAAATTATGATATTTTTATGTTCGAGCCTATTGCCTAAATAGGACCAAGAAAATTCAGGCCAAGCCCAATCTGGTTTGGGCTTGGCCCCGAATACCCGAATAAATTTTTTTATTTTTATAAAATATATAAAAATGATAAATATTAATTAATTATTTAAGTTTTAGGTCATTTTATATTAAAATACCATATATTTAAGTCTTATACATAATTTAAGTATCAAAAATATATTTTTTATAAATAAAATAATTACTTTAAAGTAAAAATTTAATTAAGAATGATTTTAAAAATAAAATTCAAATATTTAGGCCACCCGAAGCCCGAAGAAATTCCGGCTGAGCTTAGCTATTCAGGCTTTTTATAGAGTCAGACCTATTTGAGTCAGGCTTATTCAGGCCAAGCCTACCCGAATTTTCAAGTCTAGTATAAACTCATGCATTCTAACAAAGATTTATGCAATAAAAAAAATTATATAGTGATGCTGTGAGCTTCCTTGGTGAGGTAGTTTGCAACACAAATGCTTTCCCCATTAGAGAAGTGAAGCTGAACATTTCCAGTAGAGGAAAGAAAGCATCTAGCTTGATAAAGCTCCTGACATAGGGGATGATCTGCATTATAACCCTAATAAAGAAGATTAATCATTTAAGGTAATCAACATGACATTAAATCAGATTATTCATGTAATGGTTTCATAATTGTAAGCCTTCTATAAGTACATGTAGCTCATCCGCTGTGGGTGGTAGAAAATTGAGTTTCTTTTAAAACCCAATAATCCAATCCTCTTAATCGTTTCTAATAACTCCTTCACATGTAGCAAGCCCCTTCTTGTTTACGGAGCCATCTGTGTCAAGACTATAGTATCTTGATGGGGAATGGTGCCATTTGTCTTCGATCACATCCATAGACTTGAAAATTTGGTGTTTGAATCCACCACTAATGGGATTTGGTGTTTTCATAAGGCAGAATTTAACACTTTGACTAATTTCACCAACATTAAATTGATTTTCTTCTATTGCTCTCCTACATTGATTCTTCCATAAGAGCCAGTATGTAAAACAAAACACTTCAATCTAAGGTCATTGATGAAATTGAGTATTTCCCAATTGGTGTTAAGCGTTGTAATTTAACCAAACCTGTAAGTTAGAAGAAAAGAAGGAAGGTAGATATAAAGGGTTAGTTAAATTCAACCAAACTTCTTTAGTTGTTTTGCACTCGTGAATGATGTGTATTTTGATCTCCTCACTAGAACACTCAAAAGAACAACTATTATTGTGTGAAATGCCTCGTCTTGCTCTGAGTAGGTTAGTAGGGAGCCACTTAAGAAACACTTGCTAGAAAAAATGCTTCACTCCTTTAAAATTTGGCCAGCACCATAATTTTTTTCAAAGAGGTTCCTTGGGATTGATATTAAGAATTTGTAAGAAATTATAAGCCGCTTTGATGCTAAAGCAACCATTTGAGGAAGGTCTCTAAACAAATAAGTCCTCCCATCTCTCATAAGAAGGATTTACCATCTTGATTTTCTAAATGACCTAATTGGAAAGATGTTTAGCCTACTCTCTCACATCTCATTTCCTATTGGGCAAAACAAATTGGTTAACCTTTGCTTCCGAGTCAATAGAGCTTATGCTGCATGAAATGAAGTGCATAAATGGTTCATCAAGAGGAGTCCATAGGTCCCACCAACAACTAGTAGTATTGCCGTCACTAATTTTCTTACCCCTCTTTTCTTGAAGTTATCCCAAATAGAGACAATGCTGTTCTAAATAACAGATGTTTTATTCCTCATGGTAACCTTAAGAAAACCAACTGTACCACAATTGTATTTTGCTTCAAGGCATGTATTGGTTTACTGCATATTGGTATACAAAAAAAAAATTGTATACATGTCTTTTTTACACATTTTTTACATATTAAAAAGTTTAAATGAATTGGTTCCCAAAATTAGAGCATATTTTCTCACTCAAGATGCGCTTAGAGGTACTTTTTTTTTGTTTTTTTGGTAATGTCTTTGAGGTACTTCTTGACCTCATCCAATACACATTCATTGCTCGTAAATTGGGGAAAGGATTTTCATTTGGGCTATGCCTTTTTTATTTTTCTGTGTGGACTTTGACCTACAGTTTTGACAACAACGATGATGATGGGCCCAGGTCTAATTTGCGCTTTGCTTAGGCCCATAAGTATGAGTTTGCATTCTGTTCACCAAAACTGGAATGTCTAATTTATCCAAAAAAAAGAATGAATGAATGAATGAAGATGTTTAGAGTTAGTAATATGAGCTCAGTTGGCTCATGTAGGTTAGGATGTAACATCCTGATTTTTATATAATAAAGAAATTGTGGAATTTAGGTTTTGAGGAAAAAATGATAATAATAGGAATTTATATTATTTGAGGTTATTTAGAAATAATATTATGGTTAGATATTTAATTATGAATTTAAAAATTTAAATTTAAAATCACATAACCAATATTTAGTTAAGACATAATACATAAATAATTTTTTTATGTGTGTGTTAAAAAAAAAGAGAAGGTAGAAGGAACAAAAAAAAAGGGGGTGGAAGGTTGTTGTTTCTAAGTCCCACATTGGTTAGATGAGGGAAGAGAAGAGGTGCCTTCATATATAAAAAGGAGGGGATGTGTGCATTAGGAAGCATGAGAGGCTAAGATACAATTTAGAAAAAATTGCAACTTTTGGCTCAAGAGTTTGAATAATTAAATTCAAACCTATAGTTTTTTTTATATAATTATGGGACCCAAAATCTCATTTTTATATTATTTTTCTTTCTTCCTCTCACATTGCTCGGCGTCTTCTCGTAAGGGGGGATTATTTTTTTTTCTTCAGGTATGCTCCAACTTTCCTGTTTAGATTAGCATTTAAAAAATTATTTAAGTACAAAATTAATTTTATAGTTATTTTCTAAATAATATTAGCTTTCTAGTAATATGATTATTTTGTAGAATAGAGTAAATATTCTGATTAGGATTTTTCTATAGGATAGTTAATCTGATAATATGATGAAATAAAAATATAGGTTAAAATTCTTAGGGATATAATAAATATTATAAAATAATTTTTTAAGGTTGAAACTCATGTTTAAGAATTTTTGAGTTAAAATCTAAATCTATATAGTTGAATTTATGTGGAATCTGAGATGTAGAGATGAACATCTGATTATTAAATATTTATTTAAGTATGAATAGGTATTTTTGAGGTTATAGAAAGGTGATTTGAGGCTTCAGGATAATTTTAAAATTTTTAATTTATTTTTGGACGAATTTTTAGAATATAGAAGGATGAAATTGTGATACTAGAAGTGATTTGAGGATAAAAAAATAATTTATTAGGGTACGAGAATTTTAGAAAAGAATTTGAAAAGTTAAATGAGGCATAAATCTTAAATTAGTGTTAATATGGATTATAGATGTAAGACTTTCTAATTCTTTAAATTAGAGTTATTTATTTTAATGTAAAATTAATATATAGTATTGTGAAATAATTATGTAGATTATATTGACAAAGATAATGGTGAAAAAGGAGTTGTGAAAAGGAACTTATTATTCAAGATACAAGGTAACCATTATTAATGTGTTGTAATGAGTGTGTTTGTGAATGGTTATGTGTTGTCTTGTTGTTTGGAAAAATTATGAATTATTGAAAATAAATACTGTTATATATTTGTTTGAAATTATTGCCAAGTGGGTCAAAAATTTATTTTTATTTTATCACGATGAGATATTATTGTTCGGATATATTCCTGTTTGGATATTTGAATGATGCATGACTTGTCAGGGTATTTTAATGTATGGTGTTAATGAGAATTTCTGTTTGGTTAATTATTACCATGTGGTAAGCCCTCATTGGACGCAGTGAGTGGCCTGTTGCTTGGTCCAACTCACCTTTGGCCGGGTGATTTGGCGTCCGAGCATGGCGAAAGGAGGATATAAGGTGTAGTCATGCAATTAAATACTTGTTCGGTTTGTTTGAAAATATTGTTCGGTTAAATGTTTTGTGTGTCCACTTAGCAATCGCATGATTAGTTACATCCGCATGCATCATTACATATTAATTTTTGGTTACTGGGACTTTTAAGTCTCATTCCCTGTGGTTAATATTTTTACAAAAGCGAGTCCGGCCGAGAAAGCACCGGAGGTGTAATTATGGTGTATGAGACACCATCTTTTATGTTGCCTCTTATTTTGAATTATACAATATATCTTGTGCCAACTTAAGACATATCTTCTTTGTGGAGCATGTAAACTCTAATCCTTTTTATTAAATACATTTATATGTCCAAGAGAATTATGTCTGTCCCTTTTGATTCATGACCTGATTTGAATAACATGCTATGAGGATCATGTCTGTCCCTCATGGTTCTAATTGCTTTTTTTGAGATATTTTAAGACTTGTGATATATTGTCTTGGATGTATCATGGTAGAAATTTTTCTACCATGATAAGGGTGTGATAAGGGTTCAATAAAAAAAAATAATTTATTGAATTAATAATTTATGAAAAATTGATTTGTAAATTTTGAGGGTGTTACATAGAAAAAATATGAATTTGATTGAGTTTAACATATTTTTATATGGATTAAAAAAATCCTAACTCAATCTAACTCTTGGGGTTCCTATCAATCCATTTTATTTTTCAATTTATTTGTCAATTTTGTTTTAAGATACATGTAAATGAAAATGATAATCAATTTCAATATAATATTCTTGCACATAATGATTCATTTTAAATATATCAAAATGTTGATACACAATATTTGCATAAAACATATAAATTGAGCTGGTCAAATCATGCCAATCTATTCATCAAAAGCCACGAATTTACAATATTTTCCTTTTTAATTTTTATATTTTTAAAAAATAATATGAGTTAAATGGACTAACCCTAATCCATTAAAGTTAGCCTATATAGTTCAAAAATTATTTTGGTTTGGTTCAAGAAAAACTCATTTTTATTTTGGTTTTTTTTTTAAAATTAGTCCAATCTATATAATCTTACCCATATTCTTGACTCTAGGAATGTCTGAAAAATACGACAATCAACTTAAACTTTGTGCATGGATGTCAAATAAATAGGCACACTATAATGCCACATAACTATAACTCACCTAAAATCTCCTGTCATGAAACAAGATCCGTGGCTAATAAGGAAAGATAGAGAATCATGAAACACGGTAATTTCAAGAATTTGATTCCGTTCTTAATTTTGTGTCTGCGGTACCAATACATGCATTTCAGACTTGAAACTGCCACGGAATTAGTTGAGGGAATCAACGAGGAAGCAGGAATCTTAGTGAAGATTATTGTTTTAATTGGTTACTTTACAAAAAAGTAAGCGCGGGAAGCAGTAAACTATTTGGCAGTTGGAACGGGGGCTTACTGAAGTTGACCACTGCCTCACGAACATGGATTTGGATCATCTTGGTATGCTTTCTTAATTCTCGTTTCTGTACTTAATCACATTCCTTCATTTAATTATTTATTTAATTTGATGGTGTAAGATTACTAATCATAAAATTAAAATAAACATAGTATTTATGTAATAACTACTATAAAGGAAGATTATGATCTACTTCCCAAAGCATTTAAATAATAATAATAGTAATAAATAATATATTTATTTTTAATATCAAATTGACAATCTTACATCATAAACCAAATAAATAATTATAACAAACGGATGTAATTAAGTAGGCAGAGACGTATTGAGAGATGATTTAAATTTTCCATACAACATGCATGGATGTTGTGTAGATAAGGGAGAGTTTAATAAGCCTTTTCTTTTCTTGAAAGAAAAATACAATCTGCGGAGTTTATTAACAGTTGAAACTTGAAACTTTGGAATACTTTAGTGGGTCTAGTAAGGAAACTGCAAACCAATTTCCTGAATATAATTAAGTAAACGCGCATCATTTTCATGAAGGAGTGGGAAGGGCAGAGGCGTCATTTGAACCAAACCGCGTAAGCTGTGGCCTCTTCTAACTTTAATATATAACCAATCAAATCCAAATCCAATAGCAGCACTGGGAGGGCTTTCCCTTAATTCAGCAGAAGCCCTTTGGACAACGCCTCTTCACAATTCGGAAACCACCAAGAACCTTCCCTTCTTCTCTATCAATCTCTCATCTTTCATACAACCCAATCCCCTTCCTCTCTCCATCCACACTCAGGGTTCATCAAACAAACATCTAAACTCCCATCATGGGTAACGGCGACCCCAATTTCAATGAAGAAGATGCCAGCAGCTATGCTCTCAGCGGCAGGATTATGCTCAGCGCCATCCTCATTTTATTCTTCATAGTCATCCTAATGGTTTGCCTTCACCTTTATGCTCGATGGTTTCATTTACAAGCTCGCCGCCGACATCGCCGGCGCCGCCGCACTCACCTCGTATTCTACGTCGACTCCGCCACTCCCGCCGTGGCCTCGTCGCGCGGTCTCGATTCGTCTCTACTCTCGTCTCTCCCCATCTTTGTATACTCCTCCAAGACCCGTCCCGAGCAGGTTGAATGCGCGGTCTGCTTGTCCGAGTTCGAAGAGGGTGAAACGGGTCGAGTTTTGCCCAAATGCAGTCACAGCTTCCACGTTGACTGCATCGACATGTGGTTCAAGACCCACTCCACGTGCCCCATTTGCAGGGCTGCTGTTGAACCCGAGCCCACTGAAGCCGACAGGCCAGAAGTGGTGATAACTGTGAGCGAACCGGAAATTCCTGAACCAGGGTCGACTTCTGGGCTGTGCTCGGAGTGTCAGAACGAAGGCAGGGATGAAACCCGAAGTGGCCTCACGGTTTGTTCTCCGTCGTCTTCGATTGGGTTCGGGCGGAAGCCATCGTCTCTTGCGGGTGTGACCCTGGAGATGCCCAAGGGGAGCGAGTGCTTCGGGGAGGAGTCGGCTTGCGAGTCGCCGTCGACTCAATCATCTCTCAGGTCGCCGATGAGTCGTATGCTTTCGTTCAAGAGAATGCTTAGCAGAGACCGGAAAGCAAACCTGTCGCCAACGGCAGGGTGTACGGCGGGGGGCAGCAGCTCTGGGATTGAGAAAGAGAAGGATGGGGGAGAACGAAAGGAGTGCCAGTGAGGTTGGTGTGGACTAGGAGGAGCTGACTCAGGGCCACTGACGTGGCCATTTCCCAACAAAGTCAAAGATCGTATTCAAAACAAACACACTGTGCATCCCTCTTTCATTGTTGACTCTTCTGGTGATGTAGGAGGCGGCAAGAGGCGTGTCCACTCCTCATGGAATTGGAATTGGAACGGTGTATTTTTATTTTATTTTATTATTCTCGAGCATGACACCGACACTAATATTCCATTTCATTATTCGCTCCACTTTCTGCGGGATAATTAGTTTCTATACGTACACGATTATAAGTTTTGTGCATACATCCCATGTTTACTAGCATTATACTGTTAATATTTTTGCCTATAATATGTCCAAAATTCAATAACACTTTTGTTGTCCAGCACTCGTTGATATTCCCTTCCAGAACTTTGGGCTTGTAACCCTCTTATTCTTATAACCCATCTCCTGAACTTCATGCTTATCTTGATTTTTTTTTAAAGGGAAAAAAAACCTCTAATTCTATTAGTTTGTTAAATATTTTGTCTCGTTAAGGGTTCTCGTTTCATATGCCTAGGTATTGCAAAGCTCATTGTTGAAATTATTGACAAGAGTTTTATGAGGATTGTGTGTGAAAAGAGTAAACCACCGGAAGAAAGAGCCGAACGTGCAGACGCGGGGAACAGTATGGAAGACATGGTGGATAAAATAACAACCACAAGGACATTAAGGACTGAAAACTTGTTCGCAAAACAGTTTTCTACTTTTTAGAATAAAAAAATAAAAAAATTTATTTGATAACATATTTTTAAAAAATATTTAAAAAATAAAATATTATTTTAAAAAATAAAAAATAAAAATAACTTTTAGGTGTTTTGTAATTATTGTTCTGAAGAATAAATTTATTTTTTTTATTTTTTTATTCTCAGAATATATTTTACAAAATATCAATATTTAAAATAATAAAATAAAAATAATTTCAAACAGTTCTCAGAAACTTTGGAGTGGATAGTTTAACATCAAAATGCTCTTTACAAAAAATTTTGTATAAAAAAATTAATTATTATAAAATATATTGATAATTAAATTGTATTAATAATTTTCTCCCAAAAAAGAGAAGATACGGATATATAATTAATTATATTCTCACGAGCCAGTTTTATAATCACACAGGAACCGAATCATGATATTTTTTTTTTTTTGACCAGCAGGAGTCACACTATTCAAAATTACAGCTTCACTTTAGTTGTGTGCAAAGTTGATGATTGGTTCAAAATTATGCTTGAGTTTCTAAATTCTAATCAATATTTTAGCGCGTGGGGGATTGGTGCATCCGAAGAGTCCGCGACGGGAATAAGCGAAGTTTGACTCTTGACTGTCGTTTTCCCGCTAACGTGATCAAGAGTTTCAGTCGGAATCTCCACACGCTTTCCGCTATGGGGACGCGGGAGAGAGAAATGGGTTCAGGGGATATGCTTATTTCAGGGAGAAAATTCCTTCTCAGGATCGTGTAAATTAAAAGTATAATATATTAAAAAAAGTGATTATGCAAGTGGTTCTATTGTAACTGGATTATCAAAATTTCAGAATTCAAAATAAGGAACCTTATATTCTGTGCAGCAGTTCTCTATTTTGGAGAAGAGTTGCAGTGTTTTCATATCACAAAATTTTCAGTTTCTTCTCCAAAACCACATTCTCTCATAACCAAGATTTCCCAGCGGCCAAATCCTGAACGTCCAAGTGATCAAAATCTCACAACGCACACATCACATGGCTTTAAAAAATGCATGTGAATATTTTGTTTTTAAATAGTAAACAAATTACATTTTGAATGATTATATGTAGGGGTGAAAGTAAGTTAGGACATGCTAAATGTTGGCTAAACAAGTCTAGTTTATTTATATAAATTATCCTAATTATAAACTTATGCCCAGTTTTTATTATTAAAAGTTACTTCCTTTGTTAAAAATATAAAAATATAAGGCATTTTTTGAAGAGTTGAATGTTTAAAAATATAAGATATTTTTAGTTTTTTAAGGTGTAATCATTGTCTTTTTTTTAAAAGTGCCCCTATTAATAATAATTTTATATTTATAATAGGGTATTTAATAAGGGTAAATATAAAAAAATAAGGTTAATTAAAAAGTATGTAACTATTTTATTGATAGGTAAAATTTAATTAAAAATATTTTATATTTTTAAACGGAGGAGGAAGGTCATTGCTATTTCTTTTTATTATAGGTCACATACGAGTAGGGGTTTGACCTAACTTGACCTATTTAATGAAAATGTTAGATATAAGCTTACAACTAAGCTTATTTAAATAAACAAGTCATGTCTATTTACTCAAAACCTAGCCTGTAGGCTTATCAGAACTACTTGTTCATGTTTTTATATTATACTTGTATAAATAAATATTGTTTCTTCCTCGAGTAAATCTACATATAACAAATTATAATTAAATTAAATTAAATTTTATTAAAATATTAAAATAAGTAAACAAGTCTGCAAAGGCCTACAGCTTGACCTATTTAAATTTTAGGCTAGTCTAATTAAGAGTTTTGGACGAATTAGTTGGATTGGATTTTATATGTTTTTTCTTAGCTCATTGGGCCTGAAGCAATATCATTTTGAGTTAAAATAATAATAGTTTGTCACAAATTTTGCCGGGAGATGCTGAGAAATCTCAATTTTGAGAGGATTCAATTTCTTCTTCTTTGTGCTAATTTTTGCAAGCTTGTCTTCGCAGCATACCTTACAGTGGGTGATAGCTAAGTTCGAGCAATTAATCTGTTAAAATAGGGTTGAGGTTAAGAGATGTGAAGAATGTCATGCATGATGGAAATTTTTGCCTTTCACCGTCTCGCCAAGAAGAGTGTTACTCTACAACACATTTGGCACATACTTTGTTCCTTTAGCCCAGTGTCGGTGATTAGTCAACATTGTCTCCCTTGGTTTCTTTTATTTTTTATTTCACTTACATTCGGTGAGTTATGAGTTTTAACTTTTATTAGTTTTAATTTATCATTCGACCCTTTAAAAAAATATTAAAAAAGGTTGGGTTAGTCTCAGAATGTTGGCACATTAACCTGTTCGCTGAAGATGACTCCACTTGACTTGGGTCTGCTACACCTTATCTCTAACTGCCCGGGCAAGTCACACCTAACTAAAGAAGTAGAAGACCGATCCTTCAGATGAACAAGTTGATTTAAAAATAACTTCGTGTCGGGTCTCACCCACGCGCTTTGGCTTCATCACTTATTTGGTAACCATATGATCATTGGCTTAATACGCGGGGAACGGAGTAGTTATTCATTATACAAAAATGTTTCTCAGTGTCTGCTTCGCTTCGAGAAACATGGAACGCATGTATAGTTGGTGAACCCCCCCCCAAAAAAAAAAAAAAACCAACTGCAACTGATTCCATTCCTGATTCTTCTGGCACATTGTAATAACTTGTCATGAATCTCAATATTGTGCCAGAAACCACACCAACATTAATGCTATATATCAACTCGAGCTAAATGGCTGCTCACTCGGTTCTTGCATATGGTCCAGAATTCAGAGAGACACAGAATATTTGGGCCGAGATTGTCCATGAGATTAGGCCCAGATCACTTATACCAATCAACTGTCTATTTTCTCAAATAACAAGATACTGCTTTTACTCGTAAACTATTAATTCTTTTATTTTTTACTAACATGATATGTGTAAAGAGCCAACACGCAGTATGTAAGATCATAATCATACCTTTTAATACTAATTTATTTTTGAACTCTTTTTCTAGAAACAGTGAACACCTTAAAGTCTTGCTAAAATAAAATTTAATAAATATTATTAAAATATTATGTATTTAATATTTAATAATTTAAATATTATTATTTAAAACATTACACCACACAATTTTTTTCTTTTTATCTCTTCATTTTTCTCTTATTAAATAACTTTTTTTATAACACTTTAATAAAATAGGCGATATCTTTTAAATAACCACTTTTGTTGGCATATTGTTGATCTTGATTTGTAATGTTTTTGATTTTACTCCTAATATTGTAATGAATAGAAATTATTAAATTTAGGTAGTGTAATATTTTGAAGGAAGATTTTTAGTTGACTAAAAAAATTACAAAAAATAACCTAAAAATTAAAAAAAAACTTAACCAATATTAAAAATATGAATAAGTTTCAACACGCACAAAAGACATAATGATTTGAACACTGTCTTGGAGAAAAAATTAAAGATCGATATATAAAAAATAAAAATTCATATATAAATTTATAAAATGCTAATTTGAGTTGTTAATATTTAAAATATAATTTATAAATTTTCAATGAATATTTATGAATAATAATATTTAAATTATTAAATATAATTTTTTTTGATATTTTGCTAATAATTATTAAATTTTATTTTAATAAGACTCCAAAGTACTCGGTACTCATAGAAAAATACTTTAGGGTGACCACCAGTGCTGTTGAAAAAAAAGCATAAGGATAAATTAGCACCAAATGACATGGTCAGAATCTTATTTATTATTGTGAGTGAGCCTCACACACACGCCACATAAAAAAATAGAAAAGTTAACAGCCTCTTAACATAAGGGCATTTTTAAACCTCAAAAAAAGATTAGGAAAAAAACTGCACAACTTAAGAGTATAAAGTGCCTAATGCTCTTAAAAAATAAATATAGGGTTAGAATTAAACCTTAACTCTTAAAATTAAATCATAACTTATCCCTATTCTATGGATAATAATAGTAGGATATATTGGTTTCTATTCTCCCTCTCCTTTTTAACAAATTTATCAATTAAAATAAAAGGAGTTTATGGGCTCGTTTGTTTAAGCTTAAAAAATAAGTTATTTTTAAGTAGTTTAGATATTTTATAAAAAGAGATTTTTTCTAGAGATTTCATAAAAAAGAATATTATTAGTTAGTTATTTTTTCTATTTTATGATATTTTCCCTGATTTTTTTATAAAAATAATTTATTATTATATTATTTTAAAATTTTTATGATGTTTTTGTGTATCTCACATCTTTAAAGTACTCTCTATTATCTACCGCATTAAATTATCTTTAAAAGTTACCTAAAGTATCTTCTTAAAATAATCAAAAATTTATTTTTTTTATTATGATTATTTTCAAAAGTTTAAGCACATATTATAAAAACTCACAAAATAATTTTTTTAAAAAAATAAGTGATTATTTCAAAAAAAATAATTTAAAACAAATGTGTCATATATCTTCTAATTAAAATGTTGTTGTTTGTGTTCACAGATTTACCATATTATTATTTAAAAATATTTTAGCGTTCTGATTATAGAAAACTGCATATAATTACCCTTATTATTTTGTTGTGTACAATAAGAATTAAGAGCTCATCGAAATAATTTAATTTGGTTTTCTTTTGGTTATGGTTCATACATGAAAGTCTCCAATAAAATATCAATCAAGGACTATTGAAGCATATTTATATTAATTAAGCATTAATAAATTTTAAAATTTTACTGCAGTGCCTTGATCTTTAATTGACATTAATTTATTGACAATAGGCTTGTCATAATAAATGAAATCGTACATGTAATCGTGATGAAGAATGCCGTATGGTATGAGTATAGCAATATTATTGACAAATAAAGGACTTTAGGACTAATGGAGATAAAAAAAAAAATCATACTCATACATATTAATACGCCCTTTCATACACATATTTAAAGACCCTGCCTAATAATTGCACTAACTCTTTCTTTATTTGAAATGAGATTATGCCTAAAATTGCATTAAGCTTAGTTATGATAGCAAACAAAATTATTATTTGCAATCTCTTTATCCTTCTTTTTCATACTCTCTCTTTTTTTATTTTTTAAGAAAAAAACAATTGCATTGATTTTTACTTAAGAACTAAAAAAAATAAGAGACAGGTATTTAAACATGAAATTTGTTTGGAAATTAATAAACTGAGTATTTTAAATTTTTAAACAAACAGACTAATAAACCTATGTGTAGCACGTCTCAAATCCGTCTCACCAGTCCAGTAGACTCCTCCCTTCCTGATCTCATTTCCTCTTTCTCTCTGTCTCGGTTTTCAACTTTCACGTCCAGCTTTCTTCTCTTCTCTTCCGTCCATCCTCATGCTCTTCTCCTCGATCTCCTGCTCTGGATTTCTGCTCCGTTTTCACGTTCCTGTTTCTCCTTCTCGGTCTCTCTCTTCTTGGTGTCTGTTTCTTCCTCCCTCAACCTCTCTCTTCTCCTTCAGTTTTTCATGCTCTGTTTTCTATTTCTTTTGTGTATATGTTTCTCGTTCTTTTCTCCAGCCAAAAAAAACTGCCCTGCCTCTGTTTCACGCTCGGTCTTATATAGGGGATGGAAGAGGTGAATCATTGCTCTCTTGCTCTGCTTCTTCCTTTCTGCTGCGTTTTGCTGTGTGCACGGGAGTCTCTACTCTGTTTTTCTTTCTTTTTTGTGTTGTTCCGTCTCTATTTTTTCTGCATTTCTGTCTCTATTTCTTCTCATTTTTCTGTGCCGTCTCCTGTGTGCGTGCTGTGTCCTTGGTTCTGTTTTTTTTCCTGCTAGTCGAAGCATATGCGTATGTGTTCCGATTGCTTGCTATTTTTTTTTTGCTTTGTTTTGCTTCTTCTGTGCCTAGCCGAAAGCGTACGTGCGTGTGTGTTCTCTTTTCTGTGTTGCATTTGTATGCTCTGCACTTGCTTTTTTTTTTCTGCTCTGTTTTGCTTCTTTTGCATTTTATGTTTGCTGTCTCTTTGCTTTTCTTGCTGCCTAGCCAAAAGTGTGTGTGTACGTGTATTTCATGTGTCCTGATGATGCTGCATGTATCTGTTCCTTCTTCTTCTTTTCTTTCTTTTTTTATTCTTTAATGACTCTTTTTCTTTCCCTTTTTCTTTATTGATTAGATTGAGGGAATGAAAGAACTAATTTTAAAACATATATTTTTAAATAAAAAACAAAAAATTTAAGGAGAGAAATTTAGAGATAGTTGAGTTTCAAAAATTGATTCTCAATATCTTTGTATTCTCTTTTTTTTTTTGAAAATATAATCCTAAAAAAGGATTTCCTTTATTTTTATATTTATCATATTTTTGATTATTTATTATTAAAAAGGAGTCCGGATAAAATATGGTGTTCACAACTATTCACTAGAGTTTTAATAAAAATTATTTTAAAATTAACAACAATACATTTAAGTTTTAACAAGTAAAATGTATGAAGTTTTAAAACTCTTAATTTGTAATTGATCATATCAAATTGACAAATAATATTATTAAAATAAGAAGTACTTTTTTAAAATTAACAACACATCATTATGTTATAACATTGAAGTGGTTTAGAATCTTGGATTGCAACACACACACACACACATACATACATACATACATATACATATATATATATATATATATATATTGTTATATGCAATTAAATAGGTCTGGTGGCTTGTTGCTAGAGCTTCGTTGACTCGCTGGCAGCAAGGTCTCTGGTGGCAATCTGGTGGCCAGCGCTAGTGACAGTGAGAGTGACTTTTTTTTATTATCTTATATTTTAGAGACAATTTAGTCATTTTATATAAAAATCCAGAACTAAAAGACTGCAATGAAATTTTTATAATTTTTTGATTTTTAACTGATATAAATATGTTCCAGCTACCATTATATTTTCCCCTGATAAAAAGACACGTAAAACGGGTCATGTGGATTTCTTCTTGTTCTCGTTGCCACAGGGTTCCAAAAATTCACAACAATTGATGATGTGAAACCTAAATCCCAATGAGGCGGAATATAGGGCGATAAAAGAGCGTGAATGGGGCGGGAAATGATTGCACAAATCAACTAACGAAGAAATGCAAGAACCAGGAGTAGAGGCCGGAAAGTAGAAGGAAGGAATGAATAATGTCTAGGGCGAGGCGAGCATGGGTCCGGTGGAGTAGGGGACCCCGGAGGAGACAATCCAGGAATCGCCTTCCAGATTATTGGAAAGCTGGAAGTATCTGCCCGGATAGTACTGAGCAGCCTTGCTACGCGGCAGGTGGGCGTCGACGCCTGGCCATTTCACCCTCTGGGCAACATCACCGCCCGGACCCAAGTTGCCGTACTCCAGAGCCGTGCAAGTATCCTGAAAGTTCGATCCCGTGAATGGGACATACCCCTTGGGGTTGAAGATTTCATGAATATAGCTCTCTATGATCACCGTCTTTGCGTACGGCTTCCATGGCCTTGCCAGATACGATATCTGCAGCCCCTTCTTCACGGCGGCGGTATCCATATAGGATGGGTCCGGAAGGAATTTGCAGCCCTGGAACACCAGAGCGCTCGGACCTGCCTCCTGGTTCTTGCCGCCGGCCGCCACCACGCCTTCCTGCCCGTCCACACCCTTCTTCACCATTATGGTGCAGTTCTGGAATACTGTCACTGCATCGCCGAATATGAAGTCGATGGTCCCCCACACCGTGCAGTCCCTGTAGAACTGCCTATACGCACTCGGATACAGCGTGTCTTGGTGTCCGTCCATGTAGCACCTGTATATCACTGCCTTGTCTCCGGTTATCCTGAGCGCCACCGCTGGCCCTGCACTCGGTCCTGCTGTGTTCTCGAACCCTACGTCTATTGCCATGAAGTTATTGGCATTCACCGCTGCGCTCACACATGCAAACAGCATTTAATCCAATAGTATATAATTCTTTCTTGTCTCGTCTCAGATTCGTTCCAACTTAAAGACACTTACAGAAAGATGAGGTGTGGAAAGTTTGGAACCCATCCTTCTGGGACTTGCCTCCCGTGAACCTGGTCTTTGTGGGACCATCTCCGACGATGGTCACAAAGTTCATGGTGTTTGCGGCTACGATCACTTCCTCCTTGTATATCCCAGCCTTGACGTGTATGACAAAGGGCTTGTTGTTGTCTGGGGGAACTGTCTTGAGCGCGTCCGTCAATGTCTTGAACTGGCCGGTCCCGTCCTGAGCAACCACAGCGTCCGCCTTCAGTGCTTTTGATCCCGCCTGCAACAGCCTCCTCTGGTGGCTGTTCACCCACGTTGGAATATCATCAGCCGCTGCCGAGGTAGCCGATGAGAAGGGACTCGACAGTAGCTTCCTGCTCTTGTTTGTGACGTCGTTCGTGTTCTCGACATCGGCTGCGTCTTCCAATTTGAAATCCTCCAAGACACTCGAGAACCCTTCCACTATGTCCAGCGCGTTGTTGCTCATCTCTAACGCCGTTTTCAATGCATGGGCCATGGTCTGCCCGGCCTTGGTGGTAGAGTTCTGAAAGCCATCCAGGCAGGTGTGCTGCATGGTTATGGCTCCTGACAGCCACACTTTGAGGTCGTAGGCGAACTCTCCGAGATTTGCGAGCTCGAACTTATCCACCTTATCGATGGAGTCATTGATGCTCTTCAAGGCGTAACCGAACACCTCCTTGCACACGTCCAAGGCGTTTTTTTGCTGTGGGGTCCTTCTCCAGCTCTAGGAACAGTGTGGAGTTCTTTAGCTGAGCGGTGATCTCTTGGGCAGTGGAGTTAAAGGCGGCTTTGATGAGGGATTTCATGTCGTTGTTATTGGCGGACGCTGCACCCTCGACGCTCTTTTTGCAGGTCTCTGTGTATTGTGCGGAGAGGCAAAGCGTGTCGACGTTCCTCTGAGACGTAGAGATGTCAGTGGCGTTGTTGGTGTCTTTTCCTGTATTATTATTGCTTACGGCGACGGCAGCTACCATTGCCACCAGAAGGATGGAAGATAAACCCATGATGGCAAGCCTCTTCCTCCTCTGCTGGCCGCCATTGTCGCCGGACATCCTGAATCAATTTCCTTCTCTTTTTCCTGGCGTATCTTTTTCCCCGTGATGCTCTCTGGAAAGAGATGCCAAGAAAAACGAAAAGAATGACGATGCAACGCGTTGGACTCTGTTCGTCGTCACTAAGGTTCAGAGCCGTGGGGACGCCTTGCTTCCCGATTCAGCCCCCACCTTTCCCTATGAACATATATACAGGCAGACCCCTCCCAAACCAAAGGTCGGAAATTAAGACACTCTTGTTGCTTCCTGCGCTGATGTCCCCCAACTCCTATTATTTCGATTTTTCAACAGTTCAACTGAAATATAGTCGTTGACTTTATTTGATCCGCTTACTTGTTTTCCCATCAGTAATTGCTTTGTTTATTTGGGCAAAACATTATTTAATTAGAGGAGCTCCTCAAAACATGGACTGCATTTTATATGGATATTCATTAACAAAGCAATTTGCTGTTGTTTCCGTTTTCAAAATATTGGTAATTTAGTATATTTTAATTTAATCCCCTCAGCTTTAAGTTCCTCGGGTTAATTTTCAATTTCAATCATTCGTCCATCTATCAATTAAAGCTCCTAGACTAGCTGTTTTTTTTTTCCCAAGTAAAAATTGGTCCTTTAAAACGATAAAATGGGACGGAGGGAGCAGCAAGCATGCATTGAAGGACTGACCTCAAAGAATAAAATAATTTAAGGGTAAATCAAGGCAATTGTATTTCAGAGATTAAAACAATATTATGGAAGTGAATATTGAGATATTTTGACTTTTGAGGAGGGTCGTTTTTAATAATTAAATGGACGCGCATCACATGGCTATAATCAATCCGCGCCGTTACACGCAGACCCGACCGTTAACCTGAGTCCTTGGTCTTGATGTACGAAGGTGTATTTGGGGAATCTTCTATTGTTATGACTTTATTCATTTGTAGCACCAGGGATTTTTCCTGTGAACCATCGCCATTATCCATTACACACTAGTTAAACTTCAAAGCACCACTTTTGGCACCTGAGAACGTCGTCAAGTTTTTTTTTTTGGGGGGGGGGGGAATAGAGAGACAATGTCAGAAGTAGATAGAATTTAATTAAATAAAAATCGAATTTAAGATATAAATCAAGATCCATGTTTTATCACATGACATCCATCTATCCATCTACAAGAAATGGATTGGCTTCTTATTATCACACAACAGGTCTTTTCGGAAAAGTCATCTAGCCAGTCTTAGATCATCCAGTGAATTTCTGGCTTCTTATTCTCGTGGTGATAAAAGAGACATTTTCTTTCGCTGTTCCAGTGGAAAGAACAAATATACAGACGAACTTAAAGCTTGGCTCTCTGCAATTCTAACTTGGCTATGGTGCCTAGGTGGACTTCATCGGGACCATCAGCGATTCTCAATGTCCTTGCGGTGGCCCACAGATGCGCCAGCACTGTGTCAGATGATATGCCAGCTCCTCCATGCACTTGCATTGCCATGTCAAGCACCTTAAGCGCCATATTTGGTGCAGCTACCTGCTCCAAGACAGGAGTGAGCATAGTGTAGAGAAAAAATTTACATTCCCTGATTACGAGTGAAATTACAGTTCCCACAATTTAGGGCCAGACTTTGTATTACAAAGCACTACGAAAGAATTACCTTGGCCATGGCTATGATCCCCCGAGCTTTTTTGTTCCCTATTCTATCAAGCTGATCGGCTGCTTCCAACACCAACAATCTTGTCCTCTCTAGCTCTATTCGACACTAGACCCAAAGGAAAAAAAAAAAAAAAACCATGTAAGCAAGATTCTGTAAGATGTCACTCTGGGAGAAATTTATATCCCTGAGATTTCTAAATATCCAGTCCTATAAAATAATATGCCTCAGGATCACTGATCGAACAGTCACAGATAATAATAACTTCATAGCAAATGGACAAATCTGAAAACCTTGGCCAAATCTGAAAGAAATGAACCATGTTCAGCAATTAACTTCCCAAATGCTCTCCTATTCACAGCCCTTTCAACCATCATCTGCATGCCTCTCTCAGCGGCACCTATCAGTCTCATACAATGGTGCAGCCTTCCTGGGCCTAACCTACCCTGTAAGAATACAAGTTAGTATTCGTCTCCATGGAAATTGAGTGAAAGATCTCAAGCCAAACAAGCTCTAAACTAAAAGTGGCAAAAATCCCCCAAACAATCGTGTATAATTTAAACACTTAATTTCTTTGCGTAATGATTCTGACTCTCATTCTAGCATCCACTTTCAAATGATAATTTCCATGTGCCCAAAAAAAAGATATGAATTTTTTTTCCCCACCAGTCAACAAAAGTCCCAGCAACATTCACCCAAAAACACCAATACCAACACCAGCGACAAACTATTTCAAGCAGGTCAAACTCATGGACCACGGATTGTAACTTCTCCAAACTTCCACGCAGAACTACAACTTGGCTTCTCAAAATATGGTCAAGTTTGAGGATAACGAACTGCAAGGTCTAAACAAATATCACATGCTAGCATCATCAGGCCAATGAATGCGAGAGTTTACTAAACTTACTTGAGCAATTTCAAATCCACGTCCTTCACCCAGTATAATATTTTTTGCTGGCACTTGCACATTGTCAAAAGTGATTTCTGCATGCCCATGAGGTGCATCATCAAAGCCAAACACCATTAATGGTCTCTTTATGTGAACACCGGGAGTTTGAATATCCACTAAGATCATAGATTGCTGTTTGTGCTTGGCTGCATTGAAGTCAGTTTTCCCCTATGCATATTTGATTCAAATGAATACCCATAGCACAAGGGATTTTATCATTGCAATGCTTTTCAATCAAATACTCACCATGACTATCAGAAGTCTGCATCTTGGATCCATGGCACCACTTGTCCACCATTTTCTCCCATTGATGATATATGAATCTCCTCCTTGTCTATTTACATAGGAAAAACGATGAAAAGTTATACACATCCCATTGTCACTGATACCCTTTCCTGGTCTTTCTAACATAAGCTTGGCTCAAAAATCTGCCTAGTTAATTTGATATTTGATAATTAACGCATTTATTTCACCTAATCAAAGGTTTTCTTGATTGAGCTCTTTTTTTTTATTTTTAGGAAAATAAAAATTCTTGACAGTTCTACCTTCTGATTGAACACTCAATATTGGTTGCATCAGAAGATGCAACACGTGGTTCTGTCATGGCAAATCCAGACCTAATCTTCCCCTCGAGCAAAGGAATAAGCCATTCTTGTAATTGCTCTTTATTTCCATAGCGCAATAAAACCTAATATTCATAGGGATGTGTTACAACTGGATCAAAGGAAAACGCAATGGAAGTAGAAAGAGGTGTTGGATCCACCGAGGACAGAATCTAATTGAAGAGAGTTTAAGAACTTGATAAAAGGAAAAATCATTCAATTGCCAGTCAACCTTGCTTATCTACAGGTCGTCTTACCTCCATATTACCTGTGTCAGGTGGATTACAATTAAACACTTGTGGAGCCCATACAGAATGACCCATTATCTCACAAAGGTACCCATATTCAAGGTTTGTGAGACCAGCCCCCCATAACCAGTCATGTGCATCACCAGAGAGGTCATTATTGATCCCATCAAGGAGTATATTCTTTGCTCTGGCAGCACTGTCAATCTGCATAAAAACAGAAATATAACATACTCAAAGTATATTAGTTTAAAAAGGCAATTAGTGTAGAAACAAGAACCACAGGTGACATAATTACAAGCTTCATCTGTATTATAGTTACCCTCTCTTATTTTTCCAATTTTCCTTTCCTATAAAATTGCACATTAAATGGTCTATATCCTCATAATTTACCACCAGTCATTCTATGAAGAAACTAAACTGGCCAGCCACATTAAATTAAACATAATATTTGCCTATTTGTTAAACCTTCAGCACTGGCATCCTGCTATTTCAATGTAATTTTTTCATGAGGCTTGAGTAGAGGTATATACCAAACAGCATCCAAACATAAAAGTGTAAAAGTGAAAATCTCATACAAGGCCCTCTTGAAATATTCGGTTCAACTCATTGCCATCAGTACTTCAACTAGAATAGCGTTCATCATGCATTTTTTCAATGGAGATTAAAGACTGTCCAGCATGATATCATTAAAATTTGGATGGTGTGGAAAACAGTGAACCCTCACACCAGAGATTTAAAAAAAAACAACGTCCATGTCTAACATGGATTAGATGGAGGAAGGACCAAATTATATTACTGAAGAGCATGATTAAGAATTTGAGATGCATACAGGCATCCACAAGTTCCACAAGCCTTCTTTCTTCGCCAACTCCTTTAACTTCTCCTCCATAGGGTGAACAGTCCAACGTGACTTAGATTGGGCAAGTTCATAAAATTCTTTTTCTATTGGGTATATGTGTTCTTCCATGAACTTGACTAGTCTGTTCTTCAGCTTCAAAACCTTTTTACTAGGAACAAACTTTTCTGCATTTGAAACGCCTTGCATGTCAGCCTCATCCACAAATTCTTTTGAATAGTGTTGTAGACTTGCATCTAATTGTTAAGAGTAAAAGAAACTCAGCTATTTTGAGTATATTAATGCTCTTGAAAAATAATTGTGAAGAGCACAAAATTGCATTTGAGCCAACTTGTAAGTGAAGTGCATTACAGTTAAATGGCCTGCCTGCAGATGGAGGGCGTTGAGGAAGCACATATTTGCGCTCAATAAATTCCCAAGCAGCATCTATGAAACCATTTGCAAGTAGATCTGTGTAACGAGCACGCTCACCCCCTGAAGCATTTCCCTAGAATGAACAGAAAGAAGGTATGATTCATTAAAATATAATTATAAACTTCATGATAAAGCGTCCCAAACAAGTCAAGATACCTTAATCCACCTATTATACACTCCTGCATGGATTGAAGCTGCACGAAATAAAGAAAAGGCAACATAGAACTTCCACTCTGCAACAGGCCATTTTCTTCCCTGGTATAAAAAATTTCTCCAGTCAGTGTTTTTTCCATTATAATGAAAACAGGATATAATTCAACAACTCTTTCATTGACCACATCCAAGCCATGGTATGCGTTTGGACTGCACATAGTATCTATAATAACATGGTCAATGAACATAGCACAGAAATATCAGATGCATGGTAAAAGCAAACCACACCAATAATGCACATAACTATTGAATACAACATATCTTGAGAAAACAAAGATATAATTCAAAATTTCAATTTATAAAATGAAGTGCATTGTCCATTCCAAGCAGAATCAATGTAGAAACCTCTTTATATTTATAGTAACGAGATTAACTAGTAATTCCTGAGCACTCTCGTACCTTTCTTAGCAAGGATATGTCTTCAGATTCCTTCTTTTAAAAAAAAAAAAAAAAAAGCTTAATTTCAAGTGGAGTTTCAAGATAAGTCCTTTGAAAGTGAAAGGGTTTGTATTTGGGAAATCATTTAACAAGTGTTTGTTCAAATATTTGAAAAGAATTTACGTTTGGTAAATCTTTCTATAAAAAGTATTTTAATTGTAAAATTATGAGAAAAAGGCACCTACAAGTTTGGGTTTAGGGTCTAGGGGTTTGCAGTTAATTATTTTGAGTAGTAGTATGATTGTTTTAAAAAATTGTTTCCGTTACACCCCTCTCAATCTCAATATAAGTAATAAGCAACATCTTCATCCCAAGTAGGACAGCCAAACAGGCTTTCCTTGATTAAAGCCTGAATGTTCCATACAAGATTTTTTCTAATATATATATATATATAATTGAGCAAATAGGACAAAATTGTGCTATGGTACTTACTGATAGAGAGCAGTATTCAGCCAAATATTCAGATTGTGTAGGAATTCCCGGAATTTCATGGTGTTCCAGACCTTTATATATTTTGTCATGCCCAATGTCTGCAATATAATGCTGCAAGGAAACCAAGAACTGAATTGGGGATTCCATGTTTTTAATGAAAGAAATGAAGATGATATTATTTGCAACATAATGCAGTGAATAGCCCTTTAAGCATCAGTCTTGAGTCAGATTTTATATGTCACATACCAAACAGCTGAATGCAACATCACACATTTGGTTACCAAGGGTTGACAATTCCCAGTCAAGTACGCCAATGACCCGATCCTGCAATAGAAATGAATATGATCAGGCATAGAATTCACTGTTAATCTTGACACAGCCTAGAGTGAAATTTCTGTCTTTCATCTAACTTGGACTAATAGAAATATCTATGGATTGATAACAGCACCAAAGAAAAAGCAATAACATTTATATTAATTAAAAATAGAAGGAAAGTGAGTATTCTTATTATCTGCATCATACCTCAGTGGGATGAAACACAAGATTATCGATCCGAAAATCTCCATGGACAAGGCCAGCCATTGCTCCTGAAGAATCTTCAAGTGGAATGTGATGCCGAAGCCAATCAGCCAGTGCAAACATTTTAGGATTGCTTGCAGGCTTACCCTCACTGGTTGCAGCAATGTACTGCTTACCCCACCTCTCAACCTAAAATTAATATAGCGTTCAATAATTTCTATAGACTTGGTCAAAATAAAAAGTAATCCCATCCCTCTTTTTAAATAACTCATCAGAAAGCACTCCTGCAAATCCTTTCACATATCGAACTGTAATAATGGTTTAATGCAACCCAATTCATAGTAGCAAATTTCAAGGCATAATCTTAACCATGCATAAAGAATCATTTCAGTTCAAAATCACTTATAACTAATAAACCTGTCTTTTACAATAATCCGCATGCAGCCCATATTTTCCCAGTCCAATGGAGTTCACATCAACAGAATGTAAGGAAGCTAAAGTTTTGGCAGTTTCCCGGTAAATTGCCTTCCTCCTTTCTGGTGCCAATCCCTAAAATCAATACATTAACATAACATAGTTTAGCAATCAGGCCGATAGTAATTCAGAATTCACAGTGACAATGTAAGAAAATATAACCAAATCTAATAAGCCCTCGAAAATTTTAGTCAAGATGATTGAAGATAAAAGATAGACAAATCATCAATCATACTGGCAGCTTGGGGTCAACAAATACGCGTCCCTCCAAATATTCCATGATGTAAAAAGCTGTTCCCAGTATACTTGGATCATTGCAAAAACAAAAAGCTTTAGGAACTGGAACTTGGGTATGAACTCCTAACGCCTGGAGGACCTGAACATGGGAAAACAAAAAAGAAACTGCTTATTATTCAACATACTGATATTGTTTAGTACAAGTGTACAATTCCCAACACTGAACGAGACGAGGGACGTAGCATTGTCTCAAACACCAAGAGATCTATTCAACCGTATTGTCAGTTTTCTAATTACTGGCACCAACATGTAAGCGTCCCCACAATGCAAAAATGTAGAATTGCAAGGAAACATTAACATGAAGCACAAAAATACATCGAACCCCCATAAAAACACCTGAAATTCTCTGTCGATGGCATGAGCTGACGCCAACAATTTTCCTGGAGGCTTCTTCCTTAGTACATAACGCTTCACCGCATCCCCTGAGCCTGAGCGCGCTTCCAGCAAGTAGGTGGGGTTCGATTGCCCATGCCCAAACTACAGTTTAGCCATGAGAATGAAAAATCAAACGAGAAAACAATTGCCAAAAACCAACACAAGGGAAGCAAACCCCAAGAACACAGAGCATGAAGCATGTAAGGAGCCGACCTGTGAGATATTCAAATAAGGAGAGTGAGGGAAGCCTGAGATATTGGCGGACGCATAGCGAAACAAGGCGCTGAGATCGAACTCCTTAGTTGGTTTCACTTGGCGGACAAGCTCAGATGTGCTCCTCGCCATATCCAACTTCGAATGCGACCACGATCGTCAGAATCAATAATCCAGAGATTCAATGCACCCAATGTTTATATATTTTAATCAATATTAATATTAATTCAGAATTTCAAAGAAAGAGATGACACGGAAGTCGAGGAAGAACGTAAGCTTGGGGAGTGACGTCTCTAGAAAGATGTGTCGGAGAAAATCAACTCTAAACGGAGTAGCATTTCATAAGACAAATCAAACATTTTGACCTAAAAAAAACGTAAAATCAAACATTATTAATTTTTACTTATTTTTAATTTTAGAATTATTTGAAAATTAAAACAGGGAGAATGACAAAAAGGACCTGCAAATAATAATCAAGATGTGATAATTATTTTTTAGTATTTGAAAGCTTGTCTATTTTATTTTAAATTTTAAAATAGAGATAAATATGTCTTTTGACAAAAAAATTAAATTATCAAGTAAGTCCCTAAAAACTAGAAAATAATTATGATAATTAATTATCATTTTTTTCCCTCAACTTTATCCAAAAATTGAGAACTCTAAATTAAACTATAATCAATTCTGTTCTTTAATTTTAAAAATTATTTCTTTTATCATCTTATCATTTTCTCATCATTAGTTAATCATTAGTGAATTTTATGTTACATTTTTAATATTTTTTTATTACAATTAAGATGATAAGGGAGAAAATTTTTAATATTAAAAGACAAAATTTACTTATAGTTGAATTTAGAATACCTAATGACTTTTCAGGTAAAGTCAATAGGCAAAAAAACCCTTAACCCATTATCATATTTCGTGATATCTAATTACCATTTGTATATTTCAAAATTTTTTTATGTCATTTTCTGATTAAATGATTGAGAATGTATTTTCTAAATCCCTTTGTTTTTGCCAAGATGCAATTGATATGTCAATATTAGACTAACATTAAAAATTTTAGGCAATAATTGAATGCCTACACCTATAAAATTTTAAAAATTTTTGACCTGTTGATATAGTATGGATTTTATGAAACACAATTTTTAAGTACACAAAACTCGATTTGTCAAAAAAATATATACATAATTTATAATTTTATATGTTAAATAATATATAATAATATATAAATAATATAAAGTTCGACAATAAAAATGTTGCGACCCTTTATATTGTCGTTAATAAATTTGCGGGTAGGCGAGCAAAAGCTGATATATTTTGGCCATGTTTAGTCAAGAATAGAGGTTAAGGTCAATGAGATAAACGGTGTGGCAGGTTGGCATAGCTGTGGTCTTTGAAATGACGAGACTCCACCTTGTGTCTCTTCACGAGAGGTTCTCTTATGTTTTACTTCCCTGTAACTTTTTTTCTTGTTTATACATTGATTTCAGTTCTTCAGTTAAAAAAAAAAAAATTGTGGAGACTCCTGACAGAGTAAGGCAGGTGGAGACTGGGGGTTGGGATACAATACTCACTCACTGAAAGCAACGAGCCTGCTCTGGGGTGTTCACGGGATGAGATGGGACCGGGACACCCCCGTCCCGTGTCCCGTCCCGAAAAAAATATCGGGACTGAATTTTGGTCCCGTGTCCCATCCCGTTCCGAAAGTCGTCCCGTCCCGTTAAGAGTCGGGACGGGACCGGGACAAGATCGGGACGTCCCGCTGTCCCGATAAATGAAATAATGTGAAAAAAAATCTGAATAATAACGTTTTTTAAAATTTTAAATTATATAATTTATTAAGTTTAAAATCAAAATAACGCAAGTACATAAATAACAATAATTTAAAATCAATTATTGAATTATATTAATCACAATTACATATTATAATAAAAAATGCAAGTGATCTTTATGCTATAAGATTAGCAACAACAGGCAAATCAAACACAACATTAAATAATTGTTCTTCTACTTTAGTGAAGATGTATTAAGCCAATTACTCTTCTAAAAATAAGTAAGAAATATGTTATAAAGAAAATTTATTAAATAGATATATATAAGAATAAATTATATTAATATAATTAATATATTATAAAGAAATATATCACCATGTTTACTCCATGCCATTAAAATTATCAATATAAAAAAAACTTTAGTTTTAAATAAGAATTACAAGTATTAAAATTATAATTGATATAATTAATATAAGTATAGATTATGTTAATATAATTAATATATTTAAAATAAAAAATAATATATATAATATTCGGGACGGGACGGGACGTCCCGATGGTAATCCCGTGTCCCGTCCCGTCCCGCACTCCTTTCCTGTCCCGTCCCGTAAAGTCCCGTTCCGATTATTTTCGGGTCAGGACAAGACCCGTCTCGATATGATCGGGACGATACCGGGCCAATCGGGACGGGTCCGGAATGAACACCCCTAGCTCTACTCACCATGTTTAGCTAAACGGAGCATTCACTGGAAGATGTGTGAAGAAATCAATGCCCTTCTTCCCTTTCACTGCAAGAAGTCAATCAGTCTTTGAAACTTAATAAACAGTTCCAGTGTCCTGATTTTTCGTGATTTCCATTGATCAATATTCAAGGCACATCAGAATCATGGGTTAGTCAGGACAAAGTCTAGTATAAGTTTGGCAGCTTGAGACACGCTTTTCTAAATTAAGACATCTGAAACTATATCCTGAAAATCCCATATTAACCAACGAAGAGCCACGCCCACGCACAAGTGCTGGCCCACCCAAATATGACCAATTTGACTTGTAAGAAAACTTTGAAACATAATTTGACCCCCCTAACTTGCTTAGTACCGGCACCACGGGGGTTTGTTCATCATAGTAGAACCTGCCACTGCTGCTTCCTCACTTCAGCATCTTTGGGAGGCAAATACCAAAAGTTGTTTGCTTGCTGCTCTTAGACACCTTGGACCCTACTAGCCTATACTGCATGCATTTACTTTGTCTTTTGGATCTCATCAGCCCAACAAAACTGCCATCTAGGCTACTTCGATCTTTTCACTCCCTGTTATATTCAGAGCGTTATTATATGCAAGCTTTGCATTAAAAAAAAAAAAATCGTAGGATTTCAAATCAGAACAAAAGATGTGACATAATTATTAATAAATTTAAAAAAAATTTAAAGAGATAAAAATAAAATTAATTTTAATTATAAAAAATCAAAATACCCTTCATTTATTATATAAAATTATTAATTCTTAATTTTTTACTTTGCTTATTAAAACGCATGGAGTTAAAGAAAAAATTTATTTTTTAATGCTCTTAATGCTCCATTTATAAAAAAAATTAAAAAAATATATAATAAAAAGTGTAATATTAAAAAAATATTATTAATGAAATCTCATTTTTATTAAAATATCTTATATTTTGGAGTACAGAATCTCTCTCAAATATATTTTATAAATTGGGACGAAAGGTTTACTTCATGATCTATCACTAGAATTATAAATTATACTCTTACCGGCGATACACACAATTGTGGGTCTTTTGTATTGTAATTATTAAAAAAAAACCATAAAAAAAACATTAAATAATCTTTTACTGTAGAAAAACAGTATTTTTAACGTACAAGGGACAGCACTTTAATGCAATTTATGAAAACTAAAATTTATTAACGTGGCTTGTAAATTATATTAGTCGACATCTCAATAATTATAGCACATCACAATTCGTTTATTGTTTAATTGATCACGCAATACTTGATGCCTTCCTTATCATCAAACAGAGAAAAAAAAGGAAAAAAAATAAAAAACGAAAATCCTTCCAACTAAATGCATGAGAAAGAAACTAAAGTGGTTTCGAATAGTTGAGGAAGAAACGGACCGTGACTGGGTCTAGGGTGTTCTCCTTTGCAGATTCCAGCACTTTGACAAAAGAGCTATCTGAGATTTTGTAGTGCTTCATCCTCTATGGGAATTGTTTCTAGCTCGCCCAGCAGATTATGGGGCTGCAATATTCCTTTCTCTGCAATGTTCCTCTCTCCTGAGCCACGTACCTTGACAGTTGCAACATAAGAGCACTGGGTCTCAGAAACTCAAGTTTTCCAAACGGAAATGATATAATGCGAAGCACTGCCCCCATACCAGAAGCAAGAATGCATTCAAGGGAAAATCTGCAGCAGTATCCATATGACACTCGTACATAACGTGCATGGAGATTCGAAAGGCACCTGGGGTGCCAACATCGATACTTTCTCAAGGCCCGCCAAAGTGAGAGTGAGAGGGGGAGAAAGGGAACCAGGAAAGAAGACAAATCATTTCGTTTCGATTAGCAGAGATGGTGTCCTGCACCCTGTCCTTCAAGCTCGAAGCTGGATCGTATTTGAATATGGGCATCATTGAGAATCCCTGAAACCCCATCCGCCTGTACAAATTGAAAACCGCAAAGAAGTGGAGAAATTCACAAGAAATTAAAAGGAAAAAGGAAGCAAAAACAGAGAATGACGGTGATAGAAACAGATTGCAGAAAACAGAGAAGGTGGAAGACCCGAGGGGGAGATGGGGTATTTCATAGGGACGAAGGAGAAGCAATGTGAGAAAGAAATGAAACCGTAAAAACAGAGAAAATGCCATGGCTGCAGAGCAATGGGAAGAGCACCAATTAGTGGGAGTGGGCACCGGCCAATTGGAGAGTTCCGTTTCCCTCACTTTTAAAATCGAAGCGGTGAGTTTTATACCCAAAAAATAAAAAAACGGAGAGGTTAATTTTGTTCTCAACGCGCTTCTATGTGGGCTAGCGTCAAGAGAATTCACTGGTAAATGAGCTCAGGCCTTTGTCACTCGGCCCATAGACTCCTCCCAATTCATTTGAACCCGTGCCGGTAGATGCCAGCGCAACAGTCCCAATCTCGCGATGAAGATTTCATTATATGTCCCATAATTTACAGGCGAGTAAAATTCAAAATCCAGTCACGAGCACTGTTAAGGATTCTCTCCTCTTCCTTCCCATCTTCTCCTCCTCCTCTTTTTATTTCTAATCGTTAGATCAGGATTTTGAATAATTCAGATTTAATCTCCTTCAAAATATTTCATTTTATTTTACTTTTACTGTATTTTTAAATTCTTCTTATTAAATTTTAGTAACTTGAATTTATTATTTATATTTTTATAATTTAATATTTTAATAATATTTTTTAGGAGATCAAATATAAACTATCTAAATCTTGATCTAATGACTAGAAAGGGAAGAGAATGAA